CGGGGCTGTAATTAATGACTTCTCATTGCGAAATCAAGGCGGTCTTATTTGCATCGCAGTAAGGAGTTTAAAAAGTCAAAGTGGAAGTAGTTGGCACCAAAAAATGTATGTGTGTTATCAAAAGGCCTGTTTAGCAAAAAGCTGCACCATCTCATATTTTTCCTTTCTTTGTTTTATGACTTTTCTGAGCAGAACCGTGCTTTGAAAAGCTATTCTGCTAAGTGGTCTTCATCATTTATTATGAACTCGGTCAGGAGGCTTAATGAATTTTCACAGGTGAAACAAGGTGGAGATGGCCAGCTCAGGAAGTGTATTCTAATAACAGATCTTTCTTTCAAGTTAAATATTTTTCTTACAGACCTGGTAAAATGCAAAATGACAGAAAAAAATCATCTAAATTATCCATTCCCATAGAAAACCAAGGAGCAGCAGAACTCTTTAACAACTGTTTCAAAACAGGAAGCAATGTGGTTAAACATTTTAATACTTCAGCTCAGTAGAAGGTGCAGAGATGCCAAAGCATACCTAGAAATGGAAAGTGTGTTATGATTTTCTATACATTACTGCACACGGGCCTTTGCAAACACTGAAATAAAAATAACAGGTTTTGTAAAACATGTTTTCCAGGCTTCTTGGAACATCAAACTACAGCAAGTATCTTCAGGACAGCTTCTTTGAAAACAGAGCTGATGAAATCATGCAAAAAGTTGTTGGGGAAAAAAAGAGCTTGTTTATTTCCAGAATAGAAAATGGCTCATAAATAATAATGTTTAATATCTTTTATCATATAAGCACATCAGAGTTGTTCGTCACCCTGCTAACTCTCAGCAAGAACAGCCAACCTCCTTCTAGTTTCAAGAACTGGAAGTAGGTCTGCTGAAGTAGTGGAACAATAAAAGTGGAAGCATTGCAGTTTACAGTGCATGTTATAAAATCCCTGACATCTGATTAAGACCTTTTTGTCACATTTTTTTTTTTTTTAAAAGGAATTATTCTGGAATATGTACAAGATGGTGAGGCAAAGACCAGATCTATAGATCTACTTAATCTTAGACCTGAGTAAGTATGATATTATTTCAGATAACAGCATTCTCTGCTGTTTTATAGCATGCTCAGATACAACTCTTTGTTTTAAACATAGTAGAGGTCAGCTATGTCTTTGTTCACTAAAATGCACACAGAGAAAAGAAAATAATGTAGTCAAATCATTCTCCTACTATTTTAAATACAGAATCTTACATTCCAGCTGATTATTACCATCCTGCTTTTCTGTTCAGAGGTGAAGCCTCTTTTTGCTTACAGAGTTATGATTATCAAGATGCCTGTACAAAGCCAGCAGAAATATACAGCGCTTAACGTTCTAATGGTGTGATGAATGACAGTTAGTTCTTAGGCCCTGTAGTAGTATTTCTGGTCTTCAGAATGTTCTAAAAAGTGGATCTAACTCAGCTTACCGGGTATTGTCAACCCTCGGTTTCTCATGGCTGGCCAGGAATTAGACTGTGGACCATGTTTTGGAAGTTGTTATCATCACTAAGAGTTATAGGAAAGGCATAGATTTGTGAAGCCACAGACAGAGATAATTTTAACACCATATATAATTTATCTTGTTCCTACTTTATGGGCAATTCATTGGGAATTTATGAAATTCCACTTTAATTTAGATATTTATTACAAAACTATCAATTTTAGATACACATCTTCCATGTCTGAACCTCTGTGGAAACTCTTTGAAAAAGTAAAGTTCTTGCCAAGCTAAAATTTTTAAAAGTTAAATCTTACTGATCGACTTTAGTAAGATAGGGAAGGAACTATAGAAACCAAGGAAGATTTATCCATATTTCTTTAAGCTGTTACAGAATAAGTGCATATCATTCAATTGCTTACTTAATTTTCTCTGCAAGTAAATAATATTATTGCTTTTATAATCATAATTATTGCCAGAGGATGAAATCTGGTGGGTTTAGATTTTTGTTTGTTTGTTTTCCTCATAATTAGCACAGATGCCATAGCCTTAGTAGAAGAAATTCAAAAAGGAGAACCTCTCATCACAGCTTCGTGCAAGGAATACGTCATACATTTAGTACAAAGATTGCAAGAGAAGCTAGGAGAAAAAGAGGATCGCAAGTTCTACCTTTTTAAGGTCAGAGGCATCTTTAAAATAATTTGGGAGCTTTTGGGGGGTTTCAGTTGTGATGTTGCAAGTATGTTTCTACTGCTGCGTATTGTGCCTGAGAGCAAAATTTGGACTTTATGACCAATTTCTTGGCTCTTTTCAATGCCCTCTGAACGGTTTAGAGCAACTGAGTCTGGCCTGGTTATGTCTGCCAGGAATTCCCCCAAAAGGACACTGTTTACACAGGCTTATGTACAAGGGTGTGTTTTCAATGGAGAGAAGTAATTCTCTTATTTGTCAAATAAGAGTCTGTGGAACAGCAACATCCGTAGTTATGTTTCAACAAAACCTGCAAACAGATCCCACATAAAGTAGCTGCTGGGAAAGGCCCCAAATATTTTTATACTCTTCTCTACTTGTTCTTCATTTTGTGAAAATGTGTGTTTATTTTAGGTATTCTGCTACATAAAGTAATACTGGTCGTAATTACTTTCTGCCATTACTATTATGTTTGAAAAATTGATAGTTTGATCTTCAGTTTACAGACTGCACTTTGTAAATTTATTTTAAATCAGTAAGATTTTAAAGAACAATTATTAGAGAGACCTCTCAGGACTTCAAATCCAGGATTCGGTCTATCAGAAGAGATTAGGTTTAATTGTATTTAATTGTGGAAATAAAAATAAAATTGCTTCCAGAAATTGCATGTTGCAATCTGAAATAGTGACATGTTGTATATTTATTGTGTCAGCAGATGGCAACGTGTAGCTGTTAAAAATTGCTGGTCAGTGCTATTTTATTGATTGTTACCTTAAATTTAGAGAGAAAAGGGAGCAGTTTTGTGTTGGTTTGTTTGGCTAAAAACCCCCTGTACTTCTCACTAGATATAACTTGGGTTCTTTTGACCAACAGCATACATCTGGGTGAATTTTGCAAGATCTGTGTATTTAACCTTGAAAACAGAGCTATGTAATAAAGCATCTTAAATTTAAAAAGTTTCTGTTCTTTTTTAAGGTATATTCTCAACTGAGATAATGCCTTGCTTTTCATAAGCTTTTAAAATTGTTTGTTCACCACAGAGACTGACAAATCATCAAATGTTTGTCCAAATGTCAGTGTAAATAACATATTTGTTCTTTGTTGGGTACAGTACCACATTTGAGCTTCTGTATTTGGAAATACTAGAGGCAGGCAAATACAATCAATGCTATCTTATTTCCTTCACTCAAGAGTAGTTAGAAGTGTGTGAGAGGAACTTGTTTTATGTTTCAGTTCCATTTAAGGCTTGTAAATGAAATACGAGTATCAGGTGCTTCTAAGATAATAAAATACAATAGGTAGGTGGGAGTGAGAATCCCCCCCACCCAAACAATATTCCATCTATTTGCATTGTTTGGAAATGAATATTTTTTTCCTGCTGCACTGGAGCATAATCTTAAATGAGTGTACAAACCCATCTTTTTTGTTATTTCCAGTAATTGTGGTGACGGTGTTGTGTTAGGCACCCTGCAGAGAAACAAGCTTTTGTAACAATTTCTCAGGTGTTAAACTATTACATAGCAATGGTATGCTGTAGTGATTTGGAGATTTTTATCTTAGGGACTGCTGTAGCAGATTTTGCAGAACTGAGGTACATTTTTTTTTTAATATTGCCTTAGCGTTTGATTATTGTATCATTTGCACAAGCAATTCTTGCTGGGTTAGAGGTCTGTGGATAAAGCAACTGCAGCACTGGGCATTGGAAGAACGGAATTAGTCCCGTGATCTGAAATTGAGCATAAACCTATCTCATTTTCCTCCCTTTTTTTCACAATTGTTAAATATGTTTGTTGTTCAGAGTTGCCTGCATGGAGTCCTAAAAATGTCATGGATCAAATTTCCATAAATTTCCATAATTATCCATTCTCATATGCAGATATTCATATACCATGGCTGTTTTAAAAAGGCAAAATATTTTTGTCATTTCCACATCTTCATTGCCCATTCCCCCTGCTGAAGCTGAAAGTACAACTTGTCTTACTTTCTCTAGAGAACAGAAATTGCTGTTTCTCTAACATAAAATACCTGTTCTGTTTCTCTCCCAGTCCTTCACTTGATCATTGTTATTTCTCTTCCATTTTGATCACTCCTTACTCTTTTGAGTAAAAGATCTCTGAGCTCCTTTTGTTTTCCTTTTGGAGACAAGCAGCTGAGAAAGCTAAAGATAAAAATAAAAATTTGAACCTCTGGTAATATGTCAGTGATTAAATGGCATTCTGTGTAAATAATTTCTTCTTCGTTCTTATGCTACAGAAAAGACCTAGTGGACCACTGCTGTATTTTTAACATCCCTTTACTTCACTGTCAGCAATTGCTGTGATTTCCCAGCTTATGATTTTATTATGCTTTAGACTCTAGCAGAATCCAGTTTGTAATAGGTGAAAGTTGTTCAAATGCAAACCCTGGTAGACAGTAGCTGGCTTATTCAAACTAGATGATATTTTGTTTGGTCATTTTCAGAGTACCATGGTGCGCTGGGTTTCATTGGCAGTATCTGAAACCATTTGCACCTATGTTTAATAAACCTTAATATGTATGAGTATGAGATAATTTACATGAAACATATATACTGTCTGATTAAAGGACCTTAGAAGCAATGTTAGAAAAACAGTGACCTCCATAACCTAAACAATACAGGCAGACATAAAATTTGAAATACCCTCTTTGAATTTTCTCTTGATAAGTATCTTATGCTTCTGCATGCCTTTTTTGTCGTGACCTCATAGGACATCATAGATGTAACTTATTTTGTGTTCTTACTGTTTTTTAAAACAAAATCATATACTAGCTGAAAGCGTCCCATAACCTAAAAGACTCAAAATACTCAATTCAGCCGGATCTCTTGATTCACTACATAAGGCTTAATATTAGTTGGGATTTCTTTCATCAGTGATCTCAATAGGCATGGTCTCCTCACTCATTTGGTTTTGCCCGTTCAGCGCTGGTCTCAGAGAAGGTGGAGAAAAAGCAAACATGGGGGAAAAGACAGTTCATTCAAGTAAAATATAAATTTGAAATCAATACTGTATAATATCCACAGTGATAACCTGCTGAGACAGGGGATTTTTTAGTTAAGGATTAATGTATTACAGCTGTAACTGCTAATCTGACAGGAAGACAAAATACTAACCTATTGAATATTTTGAACAATTGTTTTTTGTTGGTTTTTTTTATTTTTATGTGCTTCAAATGTCATTTTCTTTTCCCTCTCCACGGTTCTATTTCAGGTACTTAGAGCACATATATTGCCGCTGACCAATGTAGCATTTAACAAATCTGGTTCCCGGTAAGTTGTTTTCAAAGTCAAAATACATAATCACTAATTGAAGTTTGGTGTTTGTAAATTAAATTGTAAGGGAATTTCAGTGTTCTTATCTTGCTGCAAAAAGAATTCATCTGTGCTGCTTATAAGCAGCATCAACCATGATTGGGGATTGGATTTCAGACCTCAGTGGGAGAACCAACGGGAGATGCCAAAAAGTAGCGGATGAGATTCAATTTATGTAATCTTTTTCTTTCAAGGTGATAGTTTGTTAACAGTTACTGTATTTCAGAAAGAAGCACCTTTATGGCAATAAAGTGAATATTACTAAAAGCTAAGTGAGTCTTTGACACAAATTCATTTGGGACTTTCACTGGAGTGGAATTTCATGTTAATTGATTTCACTGTGGGCATATCAATGTGGGCAATTGTTTTTTCCTTTGTGTCTTGAAAGCAGCACCTTGCTTTTTAGTTGAAATACACTAAAGATTAGAAACAAGGCTTTTTAATTAGTTATATTAAAAAAAATAGAGAAGGAATCTCTATGGTCATTAATCTATACTTTTGAAAGAAAGATGAGATTTAGGGTCTGAGACAGTGCTAACTGAAATCTGTGGAAATAACTCATTTGAATGCATCAGGACTAGTAAAATATTTACCATATTCAGAAATTAATTTCTCTTTGCTTTAGCTTTATCACTGGAAGCTATGACAGAACCTGCAAAGTATGGGATACTGCATCAGGAGAAGAGCTACGTACGCTGGAGGGACATGGAAACGTTGTCTATGCAATAGCTTTCAATAATCCCTATGGGTAAATACATCTTCTCTGAGACCCATCATAATTGCTAATCATGTTATTTTGCAAATACAGAACTGTTACTCAAACTTTAACATAAAATAGACTAAAATTGAAAGAGTTCAAATTCTGAATTTGTAAAATTCAACTAATCACCATGGGATGACACTTTATATTGTTCGCATAAGAGGTACATTCAAGCATGTTTTCTGCTATAATGTTAAAAATGAAATTTAGAAATTCAAAGCATAAATTTCATTAGGTATTCAGTGTCTTGAAAAATACATATATGAGTCAGTTTTTAATATATTGAACACAAATTTATTTCAATAATATCAGATTGTGTTCTGAATGTTAATAAATTTTTACTGCCTCCATGTAATTGTATATGATGTGAGATAAAAGCTTGTGTTGCTTCAGTTAAGGAGAAGGAATATTTCTGTCATAATGAAAGTGGATTTCTCCATTTGGTATTACACATTAATTATTATTTAGGACGTGATTTAGAAGCTGTTGAGTAATTTTTATAAAGTCCACAGGGTGCCGCTGTATGAATGTCAAATACGAATCTGTGCATCCTTTGTTTTCTGCAATAACTGTCCTAGGCTAGAATTGCCACCTGTTAAGGAATTACATGTTAGCTACTGAAGTTACATTGTCATTTGCTTCCTGAAAAAGCTGTCTTGTGTCAGTAAGCCATTTTGCTTCTCTGCAAAACAAGATAAATTAATTCTTATTTTCATATTGAATCACATTACTTCTTTCACTGTCAGATGTCCTATTTATCAGTTAAGCAATACACAATTAACATCACGAAATAACTGTTAAAGATTTGTTCTTACACTGTTTGGAGCATGATCATTTCCTTCTAAATGAAAAGACTTTATTCAGCCTAGAACCTGCTATGTTAATTTCTTATATTCTGATATTTTCCTTAAAAAAAAAAAAAAAAAGAAATTCTTTTATATACTTTGAAGAAAATAATGTATGACAAAAATCTGTGCAAAGATCAATAACTAGACTGTAATATAGAAGTGGAGAAGCAATGTATAGCAAGAGAAAACTTAATGAGAACCTTGAGCTACTTTTAAATTAAAAATTCAGTAAAAAAAGAACTTTTTTTCCCTGATAATCTTTAGGTTTTGGTACAGTGTCCCTTGCTACATTTTCTGAGTACCTCACTTCACTCTTGCTCTAACTGCAGTGGTCACAATGCTTCCACTGACTTCAGTGGGAGTGGAGTTTGACCTCTGAAATTTGGGTAAACTGATTATAAAAAGAGTTTATCACTGTTGATAAAAAGATGCTATCTGATGAAATGACATAACTGAAAGTCTAGCAGATAACCTCATCCCTAATGTTGGTTAGTCATCAGTTACGAACACTTCTGTGCTAACAGGCACAGTGGCTGTTTTAGAACCTAATTATGTCTGCTAATTTTTTCCCTTAACGTAACTTCTGTTTGTGAAATCCTGCTCCAGGATCTTACAGTGTGGCAGAATCCACCAAAATGCATGCAAGCTTCAATGACTGGGTATTGTTTCTGTGAGTTCTACTGTCTTTGAAGTCAGAGGGTTTTTTCTAAGTAAAATGACAGGATTTTTTCCATTTAGTGACAAGATTGCCACTGGATCTTTTGATAAAACCTGCAAACTGTGGAGTACAGAAACAGGAAAATGTTATCATACTTTCAGAGGACATAGTGCAGAAATAGTGAGTACTAATGGACGTTTCTTATTCCTTTGTTTCCTCACACCATCACTGATGCCTGTGGGTTCCAAGTCCCTGTGAGCTGACATTGAAGGGGTAGCTAGTCTGCTGCATCTATTCACACTTTCAGCCATTGTGAACATTTCTGCACTGCAAGAAAAGACAGTCTGACAGTTCTTAAGAAACAGCATAAAACATTGTATACAGTTTGAAAAGATATTTTTTAGTTTGTTCCAATTTCCCTTGTTTGCTAAATGTTAAAACATTTTTGAAAAATACCATAACAATTGGAATTTTCAATTTATTGCACATATTTATTCCTTGATTTGTTTATATATCCCTTTTTTTTCCCCTAGATATTTTGCACTGCCTCACATGTGCAGAACTAAATACACAAGAACATTATTGCTTGTATTGCTGTCTTTCATGCTGACATCTGTACTTCATGTACAGGACCCATTGGAGCCATAGAAGAATAAATTTCTGAAATCTTAACTGAGAATATGTGGGATGCTGAAATGTCAGAGAGATAGGAAAATAAAAACCGCTTGGTTTCCTTTCCAGTGCACTGGGAGCCCTATTGTCAGTACCAAATATCTTGATGCACAGCATTCTGATTTAAAAGATAAGGGCAAATCCACCGAAAATGTTTTTTTCAATGCAGGATATATTTTTTAACAAAAATAGCTATACAATCATTATTCAATAAAGCATTTCTAGATTTTTTTTCTGGAAACAATTGGAATTTAATTTGTAAATTGTGAGGTCTATAACTAGTGTGAGAAAATGGTGGTTTACCTTGGAGGAAGGTGAGGTTGATTTCAGTGGGTTTTTGATTCTCTGGATGCTTTGAAACAGTTACCCCTTACAATGGAGAACATGTTTGCTTGTTGAGACAGGCTGCAGTGATTTTGCTTCCACAAATCAGTTAGCTAAATATTTAAAGGCCTCTTAATTTCTTCTGACTTCCGTAGGGGTTAGATTAGACCCAAAGTGTTATGAGCTGTGCTAGCAAGTAATTAGTAGAAGATAATAGCCAGCTCTGGAGGAGACCTGTTTCTGAAAGGCCGTTGTTGCATATGATACATTGCTGGCAAGGGCGTGTCCATAGTTATTCAGTATAAAAAAAAAAGAAATGGACACAGTGAAAATGCACTTGTGACCTCAGCTACTGTTTTCCTTTTTACATGGCACCTCCTATTCTTTATTAGCAGAACAATCATATTGAATAATTACAGAGAATGGGAAGATGACTACATGATTTTTTTAATGTGAAAAATGAATTAAGGAAGTTGTTGAGCTTTTGTTCTTGCTTTTTCATAAATAAATATGATGTTGTGGGGACGCCCTTGGCAAATGGCCTAGATAATACACCTGTTAAGATAATAGTGTGAGTGTACAGAGTATGCGTGTGGGTACACAAGACTTTCTGGAGGGTCTTTGCCCCAAACTGATCAAGTTAAAGAGGGAGCCTACCAAATGATAGTGTTAAGGAGGACTGTCAGTTGGATTGAACAGTGACTGGAGAATCTCAAAGAGAATTTTGAAATAAAGAAGTAGAAAAAGCCCAGAAAGAAGTGTAAAAGAATCAAGGCAATTTATAACAGGGTGGGGGAGACATTAATCTGGGAGCAGCAGTTGTCAAAACCTGCTCTGGTGCTTCCAGAAGTCACCCCGGGCATCACAGGTGCCTAGACTGGACAGCGTATCCTTCCTTTTGGAGATGCCATGAATCCACTGCATCTGGCTAGTGGATTGTCAGTACGGGGCTCAAGAAAAGGCCCCCTTGTGTCCCCAGTAAGATGTGCGTATGTGAATTTGGATGTCTTCTCTCTGGTGTGTGGATCAGCGGACTGTAGGAAGTGGCATGGGTTCACCTATAGCTAGAGCACTCGTGTCTCCTAGGGGAGGTGCACGCAAGTAGGGGAACACAGACTCCTAGGAAAGGGGGGTGCACTTGTAGCCCCCTCATCCTGTGGGAGGGGATGAGTGTGCATGCAAGAGTGTCAAAGTGTGTGTGTGTGATTAAAATGTCTTGGAGTTCTAGGAGGAGGTTTAGAAATTTGTAGCTGTTTATTAAGAATTTATAAATTTACCTATTGCATTACAGATACTGAACATATAGTTCTCTGCCAGTTATGTGCTGTTAATAAATTAACAAACTGCTTCAGTCTTGATTTTGATTAAAACTTTGTGGACTAAATCATTTCTCCCTGAGACACAAAATGAAGCACCTAAATAGTGAATTTTAATCCAGGCTCAGCAAACAATACAGGAAATCTTCCAGTAAGACTTTTTAATGCATTGCCATTGCAAAGCAGCCAATTAGTCCATTTGATTTGAGTAGTCATCCAGAGCTATGTGATAAGGATTTGTTGCTCTTCTAGTGAACTATTGGAAGAACTGCAATTTTTCTGTGTGCCATAAAATACTAAGTCAGACTTTTGTCTTGTTTAAAAATATTAATCCTGTATATAAATAATCCTGTATTTATATACATTTGAGAAGATGCATATAAATATTCTCCTTTCCCACTTTTTCCATCCAATGTTTCTTGCTACAGGTATGTTTATCATTTAATCTTCAGAGCACATTGGTGGCAACTGGAAGCATGGATACCACTGCCAAATTATGGGATATAGAGAAAGGAGAAGAAATAGTCACTTTAAGTGTATGTTTGCCTTCCTTATGTTTTTAAAGATGTTCCTTGCTTTCTCAGTTTTGTAACTAAGATATATATAACAGTATAACCATTACAATAGTTTCAAAACTTGTGGAGTTTCTGTTACCAGGTGGTCCCATAGTGACTGTGGTTACAAAACAGATTAAGAAAACTTGAAGGGAATGATAAAGCTATAGTGTTTTATAAGAAGTTCTATTTATCAAAAGACAAGTTTTCTCATTCCAGTAACATTACTGCTATAGATCAGAATGCCTTCCATCGCTCATTAAAACATGTCATTATACTGTAAATTACGGTCTCCTCTTTCATTAACATAAAGTAACTCAGAGAACATTAATGTCAGACACTACATCTGTATCGATCTTCCTCCTGTAAACATCACCAGAGGAAAGCCATCCAATTACCTCTAGATTGTGATGTCTTTTTGCTCTGTGTGGCTTGCTGGGATCCTGCAGGTTAAGATTGGCCTGTGCTGTTTCAATGTATTTCTCTCACATTTTTCCTAAATAACAGGTAGTGCATAAGCTTCCTTTGGTGTACGTGGCCTATAGAGTGGGGAAGGCATTTTCTCCTCCTTGACTTTCTCTTCTTCAGAGCCCTGAGCAGAGCAAAGAGCAGTGGAATGTGTAAACCTTTAGTTTATAAGTATGCTTACATTCATTTTTCCAAGCCTCTCCATCAACACCAATGACAAGCTGTACTGTAGTTTACTGTAAATGAATCCTCTGATTTCAGTATGTAATGGTGAACAAATGTGATTCTGTTTAAATCAAATATGGAAAATATGCACTGATGACATCACTGGACAATTGCTCACTGCTTAAGTGATGTGCCTGATTTTTTGCAGTTTTTGGGGTATTGACTGTTCCACAGTCAAGTAGATCTTTCTGTCAAAATTGTGATATACTGGACAAAACAGTAAATGATATATTGAAGAGTTATAGAAGGATTATGCTGCTGGAAAAAAGCTATGTATTGAACTACATTAATGGAAAAGTCGTAAGTTGCTTTCTCATACTCCTTTTTAAAAATTCTCTCAGGGGCACTCAGCAGAAATTATTGCGTTGTCTTTCAACACCACTGGAGATAGGATTATCACTGGCTCCTTTGACCATACCGTAGCAGTGTGGGATGTTGGCACTGGCAGGTACTAATAAATATCATTTTACATTGCATGTTTTAGTGACAAATGAAAGAGACAATGTTGAGCTACAAATTACAGACCTTGTATTTTTGCTTTATTTAGAGTATGCGTTCCTTCATCTTATCATTTGTTATTCCTGTTCCCTTTGTTCTTCTGAAAAGGCATGCTGCTCACAAAATGCTTTTGTATATGTTTTTTGTTGTAAATTTCCATCTTATTAGCAGAGGAGGGAAGCAGAATAGACAGATCCTGTGTTTATTGCTGATGAATTCTCCTAACAAGAAAATATTTTATCTGCATGGAAACTCGTGGTTTGGAAGGTGTCTAGAATTTCTAGATGGAACAGACTCTTTAAGTAGAAAGATAGTATATGTTATGTCATAGAAAATTAGTCTAGTCACATTGTCTTTATGAACCATAGAGGGTCTGTTTTTCTTCTCACAGTCCATTATGTCAGTATAAATTTATAAAGAGGAGAAAACTTGGCCCCTCTGCAGAGAACAAAATGTCTTGATTATTATGCCAACAAATAATAATGTGGTAGCTAAATATGAGTTGTTGTATTATTCTGACAAATCCACTTGGTTTTTCAACTGGAAACTCAGTCTAAGTAGAATAATAAAATGATTGGTCTGTTCACTGACAAAGTAGAAGATAACGATTCTATTATGTTTTCGGAGGTCATATATTTTTTCTTTTTGTGAGATCAAGGGCTATATCTCTGAAATTTATATATCTAAAAGGAAAGTGTGTGTATAGTGGTATGTTGGGGTAATAAACAGTATGTATAGCTTCAAAATGAGAGTAATCATGTGATTTTAAAAAATAATTTACACCTGGTACATCATTTAAGACTTGATCCTGTAAGCTTTGAGCTTATTCAACACCAGCAGTTCAGTGTTTGGCACATGAACACTTAGGAGGCACCAATTCAGCAAATTGGACCTTTGGATTCAACATCATTCAGTCTGGTGTTCTTGCAAATATTTTTATTGAAAAAGGCTGCTTCTTCCAGCTTCCTGTCTGAACCTGCAGTGAAGTTCAAGTCTTGGGATTTTCATGTTGCATTCTTTTTTTTCTAAGAAATGGATGTGGACTTCACATCAGGGTCAATACCAGGAAGTGGAATATGAAGGAGAAAATTCTTGTTTAAACATTGGCAGCTCTGGTAATTAGCTAGTGGGCAATATAATTGTGCCAGGGCCAGCACTGAGCCTTTTAGATCACAGCTGAGCATGTATACATTCAGCAATAATGAAAAGTTGCAGTCAGAAAGACTGTGAGCAAATCATACTCTTCTGTATACAGGTTCAGGTAGATTTGCCAATATCTTGTAGGTGAGGCTGTGTGTGCCCGTCTTTCACCATACGAAATACATGAGAAACACTGCTTTCCAAATTTGAGTTTGAAGTTTCTTTTCATTTTGCTGGCTGACTCTGAGTGCTTGTGTTCCTAAGTTTTATTCCGGGTGGGTATCCAAAATTGTCCTGAGCGAAGTTGATGTAGGGACAAGAAATCTCAAGAAGGTTCAAGATTTTCTTCATAAAATGTTAAAATAAAAAAAAAAAAATAGTGGGAAATACAGGTCTGTATTTCATCAATCATTTCTCAATGGCAGATACAATCAGCTATAATTCAGTTGAAAGTGTCTTCAGAGTTTCACTGGACAAATCAACAGCCTGTAACTGGGCTCAGAAGTGCTGGACACCAGGGTGCTGAGAGAGAGAGAGACAGCAACTTCTTATTTGCAATTATGGTGCAAATATTATAGCATCCATATATTCAATTTCACTGGAAACTGAAAGCTAAAGAAGTATTCTAATGACTGAAGATTTTTGGGGGGATTTTTTTTTTTCTTTAAATAATTTAAATGGAAATTTTTTATGGCATTTCATAAACCTCTTTTCTGGATTATTTCTAATTGTGTGCCTGATAGATTGTAGTTTATGTGAGATGTTCCATACGTTGCTATTTATTCTAATTATTGATTGGATATTTATGTTGAAGCCTGGACTGCCTTTTCAAAATTTGGAAATTTAAGTGTTTAAATTTTAAATTCATGCTTTGGTATTTTGGATGTTAGGCATTACAATAACAGCAGTCATGATGGCCAAGTAACATGTTCACAAAATTAAGAAGTTTTCGACTGTTGTTTTCTGCTTGTTAATTTTTGGTTTTGCTGTAAAAAGGTCTGCATGATTACAAAAGTGGAGGCCTCACATTGTTAGAAAGTAAAAGGAGTAATTACATAAAATGGCATGAGTATAATCAAGTTTTTGTTATCATAAACAAATAGAAAATTCAGTTGCTCAGGAGATTAGCTTTGCTGTTCATTTAGCATATATATTAATTTAGCTACCCTTATATATCTTATGCGATGAATAAAAACATTTCAGCTACGTAAACTCATTTAGTTGTTTTTCTAGTCGTTAGTTCGTCCATTAGTTAAAGCAGTTTTCTATTAATAATACCGTGATATTAGCATTGTGATAATATCCTAATTTACTAATCCTTTAATATATATCAATTAATCTTTTTTAGGATTCATTGCTTTATAGACCATTAATTCATAAGAAGCAATAATTGCTAATTGTACCCTCTCTATTCAGCTAAAGCTGAAGAATTTAATGGAACTAGTATTGTCAGTCCTTGTGCAGCAAAGAGTTTCGAATTAATGAGGATTAGAAAACATATTTCAGTTTGGCCATCATTTGCCTGTTACTTGGGAACATGCGCACATTAAGTACCTGATTAAGTTCCATTTGATCTTCAGTGGATTTTATAAAAGGTTTAGATTATATGGAGTTTTAAAGATGTACTGTTTACAGTTCGTTGAAGTAGGATAATGGGAGAGTAATGTGGATAAACTTGTATGTGCTTTGTATGGAGATGAATACAAGAAATCTGTCTCTGGCACTGGAAAGTCATCCCATTTCACTGGAAATACATTCACTAAAATATTCTTGAAAGAGAAAGGAGGACTTTTCCATTTTATTCCTTAATGCGTCTTTGTCTCGAAGAGAAAAATGGAATTGATGTAGTGCTAGAATGCTAAATGAGCTGTACCACTCCATTTAATTGCTTTAATGGATAAAATGGTGAAGACTTGACACCTTAACTATACCATTTTATAAATTTATTCATAATTTATACGCATATATCAAAATACACACTAAAAATGTAAATTCTCTTTTTTGTAGGATGTTACATACTTTAGTAGGTCATCGAGGAGAGATTAGCAGTGCACAGTTCAACTGGGACTGTTCTCTCATTGTCACTGGATCAATGGACAAAACATGCATGGTAAGAAAGTTGGGTGTGTATTGAATACAGCCACTTGATATTAAAAATATATATTTAGTAAATGGAAGAGCATTATTTTAAACTAGTACATGTAGTTCATTAAAGAATTTACAACTAAATGCAAAATCTGTAGGCTGATTCATTTCAGTGAAGTCCAGTTAAATAACAATATATATATTTAAGGCTCATTTAATAATACACTGAAATTAAAAAAAAATAAAATTTAAACTTCATTAAACTGACTAAACAGTGGCTCTTTGTTGATTTATATCCAGGTTTCATGTTAATACATTATCAGACATCAGAAAGGGCCTATACATGTTGCTTTATGGATCAACTAGATATCTATTAAAATAATCAAAAACATTACCCTTATTTATCTATGCAGCTGTGGAATGCTATGACTGGGACGCATATAGCAACTTTAACGGGTCACAGTGATGAAATATTGGATGTCTGCTTTGATTATGCTGGCCAGCGTATTGCAACTGCCTCCGCTGACGGTAAGTGAACTGACCGGGACTGCTATAAGGATTGCAATAGCAGCATAAAACACCTTTGTCCTTGATTTTGCTTAGAATGTAGCTTGATGAAAGAGGAGTATCATGACTCAAAACTACAGATCAAGCAATGTTTGTTGCATTACAGAAAGTTTGGCATTAAACTTCAGATGTTTTCCCCAGTGAAATTTTTCTTATTTTTCACACTATAATCAATGCAACATGTCTTTCCCCTTTAACTTCAAAATTTACAGGGAAATATTTCACTTGTGGCTGGAAATGCATTCTAAATGTTTAGCTTTTGAGTAAAGTTTGATTTGGGTGGCTCAAATTTAGGCTTAAATGACAAAAAATTGGAATTTTAATGATGGATTTGCTACTAGGTTTTCCAAATGCACAGCAAGAGAATACACCATAAAGAGGTAGTGAAAGACGCAATTTTGTTTCGTTACTGGTATGCAGCAGTTTTGCACATTTATTATTTTTTTGGGAATCGCAATAAATAGTTGTTTGTATTTACCTGCATGGTGTTACATTATAGCACATAATGACAATACCATATTATTTTTACATGCTTAAGTGTTTTGATTTGCACTTTCAGAAACGGGATACCAGACTGGACGGTGGGCACTATTTGGACCTGATTTGCTGTAGTTGCTAAATTAAGACCTAAGATGATGTTAAAGGTTTCCTGAAATGTAACCAATAACTTATTAAATATATTTAATAGCTTATTAAATAGATTGAATATCTGAAATATAGTGAAAGCTTTCTAAACATATTGTACATGCATTCTGAAATAACAGACTTCACTGGTCTATGTTCTATGTGGACATTTTAGAAATTTTCCAGCAGAAATCATTAACAAGTCAACATTTTCCAACCAGATTACAGATCCTTTTTGACATACTTCATCCTTGGGGGAAGCTCTGTTAAGATTATCTTCTATTTCTTTTGAAATCAAACCTGAGGATGAGACCCTTAATACCTTATTAAAATGTCCTCATTGAAATGCATGCTTAAGCATAACAATCACAAATGGCTCCTAATCTACCACAACAGGATCAGCAAGAGTCTATAACGCAGAAACAAAAAAGTGCATTGCAAAGCTAGAGGGGCATGGAGGTGAAATTTCAAAGGTAAGTTGGTTGTGGTTTGCACCTTTTCTTAGTTGATTACGTGTGACCTCCAACCCACCAGTATTCCATGACACAGGAATACTGTTAAAGAATGTGGTGGTAAAATTATTAATATTTAAGAGTGAGAGGTCTGGTGAAGTTATCTTTACTAAAAGAACATTCCTTTTGACTAAAAGTTATCAGTCAATGATTGTTTCCAACTCCCCACTTCTGAGCCAAGATAATACTGGGTGTGCTGTTCCTGTAGGCTCCACCAAGAGCCATCTCTCCATATTGTCATGTTATTTACTATTTGATTCCTTAGAGTTGTGACAGTTAGCAAGATACTTAAGAAGTCCATCCCTCCCAGGGATGGATACCTGGCTTTGTTAATATTGAAAAGTTGTAGAACAATTGTGATTTGGGGGGATAATATTCTGAAGTCTTGATCCTATAATAAGGTCATTGTATACAGACCTTTGTACATACACAAAGTTTTCAGCCACAGAAGTTTGCCAGGGTGACTCTAGAGGAATACTATCCTTAATTTTAGCTGAAAAGCTGAATGCAAGAGTTGCTGGTTTCTGTTTTCGTCTTTTAATCACTAGATATGCTTCCTTTTCTAGGCATATTGACTCGCTAAGTAATACAACTATTTTCTGTATTTTTTTAAAAGGTATGTTTCAACCCTAAAGGCAATCGTATACTAACAGCCAGCTCTGATAAAACAGCTCGACTCTGGGATGTTGCTACCGGACACTGCCTTCAGATATTAGAGGGTCATACTGATGAGATATTCTCCTGTGCTTTCAATTACAAAGGCGATATAATCATTACAGGTAACTACTATCTTCCAATTTTTTTTGGTTTTTTTGAGAAACATGTGAAATCTTGTTATGGTAAAAAAAAAAAAAGAGTCTGAAAATTTTCTGGGATGCAGGAATGCAGGTGCCAGCAGTGACTTAAAATATAGTCAAGAAAAGCTAGAAACACACTTTTGAACTGAGGCTTAAGTGAATATGGCCACAAACAAATTTGTATAAAGGCATGGGGATACCCTACCTTCTCTCCTGTGGTCATATACTAGCACCAGATCGGTGACTAAGCCGTTTTCTCACAATGCATTGCAGTGAGGGAGGTCAGGATGAGAAAAGGGCAAAGCTTTTGAAGTGGGAGCACACCTTTTGTGTATTCGGCACTGAACTCTGTTCAGGTTTCCTTCATTTCAGACAAAAAGTTGTGGGAGTGGGAAGAGACATGAACAGAGTATTGATGATTGCTTTGATCTTTTGACTGAACTACGAAAACATGGGACGCAGGATGATCTCGGCTGAAAATATTGCTGTAGGTCCTGCTGTCTCCTGCTAGTCATGGACAGAAAAACATTACTCTGGCTCCTCAGCATTCTGGGTAGATTGTTAACAAAAACGGATAAATTGTGTGATACCGCTAAATGATTCCTTCACAATGTGTGTTTATTACTAGGGAGCAAGGACAACACCTGTAGAATATGGCACTGACTGAAGAGAAGGAAAGATCCAGTTTGGTATATGCCTACTTTGTGAGTTCCACAGTCAATAAACTCAGTCTTTCTGATCTGGTTTCTTTTACCCTCTTTGTTCACCTTCAGCTTTGCTGAAGTAGAATAGTTACATAGATTTTGATAAGTTTGACTTTGCTGATGTCTGGTAGATATGGAATCACAGAATAGAAGTTGGAAGGGACCTCTGGAGATCGTCTAGTACACCACCACTGCTCAAAGCAGCATCAACCAAGCAGGCTGCCCAGCACTGGCGTGGTTTGAGTATCTCCAAGTATGGACACTCCACAGTTTCTCTGGACAACCTGCTTAGGGTTTGATTACTCTGACAGTAAAAAAAGTTGGGTTTTTTTCCTTGTGTTTAAATGGAATATTTTTCTTGTTTTTCAATTTGTGTATGTTGCCTCTTCACTGGGTACCACTGAGAAGAGTCTGGCTCTGTTATATCAGTCACCTGAGAGAAATCATGGTTAGTGTGAATGAATCCAGCAGGATGGCCCCACTTCTTTGTGCATCACTTTTAACTTCTAACCCTTTTAATAAAAAAATACAGGATTATAATACCATCAGGTGTGAAGGGGTGTTGTTATGCCCTTGCTCTGAATACTTTTGTATTAATTTTTTTGTTGTGTAGTAAAGTATTGAGTTAAAATGACAGTTTCACCACTTGTAATACAATGTCCCACTTGGTATTTCTGGAGAAAACCAGCAACCATTTGTGCATTGCTATTAACTATTGCATGCATGCTGCCGTTAGACTCCCACTCACTCCCCTTTCATACTGGCCCACATCCTTCCATTCATTCTATTCCTTTCTGCTCAGCCCTCACTCTCCCATTTTCATGTGAGGTAGAACAAATAATATGGGTAGTGAGTGACTCCAGCTCTGAATCCTGGCCCAAAGATTATGGCCAGCATGAAGAAACTCTACACACCAAGATTTGGAGCCAAGGATCATGACATAAACTGAGAAGTAGATGAGGAACTCCCGTGGGTCATTTACCACTGTAGAATGAGCTCTGGCCCAGGCTTGCCTCTTGCCAGCAACTGCCAACAAGTTTCACCTGTGCGGAGTACTCCCCACCTCCTAGAACATCACCTGAAACTGCAGTTGCTCCTTGTAGGGGAGTAGCAAAGGAGCAGAGCCAACTTGTCTCTTCCAGCAGCCTTGGAAGAAGGATGAAGAAGCATCAGGGTAGGATGGATGAAGGGTAGGATCAAACAAAGTATGTGTGGTGGCTGAGGGAACGAAAGGAAGTGTGTGGCAGAGAATGAACTTCAAGGTTTTTTGTTTATATTGTATATCTCTGGGTGGTTATGGACTTGACTTTTAAATGTTGTTAAATTTAATAGCAAGTTACTTGTGCTGATGTGTTCTGACTATCTCTGAGTGCTTGTCAGTGTCCCTTGTGTGTAAATGGAGAAACAAAAGCGCCTGTCATCACTTGGTAAATATCCTGGTTGTTTCGAGTAGTGTCGTGTTGTGGGAGAACTAAGCAGTGTGCTGCAGATCATTTGAAATTAAACCTTCACCAGTAAGCAAAGCGGCCACTATTATTGTTACTGTCATGCTCGTGGTGTTTCTTGGTGTCTTGTGCAATGACTTTTGATATCAAAAGAGTATGTCAGTAATCTGGAGTTGAAAGGGCCAGGAAGGCCAATGTGGATCTGTGTTACTTAGAATTGCCCCATGCCCCTAGATCAGTTTCTGTGATATGGGGGATTTCTGGCTGACAACAATGGAGGAAAATTAGTGTAATGAAATGTGTACAAATACTGCTACATAGTTAAAAACTGAAATTTGACTTGCTGTGTAACCATCACAAAGTAAAAAAGTTTGGATTGCAATTAGGAAGTAGATTTTTTTTTTTTTTTTGCTTAATCTTTCAGGTTGGGTTATTTTCTGATGTCTTTTCTGTTATGATTTTTCTCTTATGCTAGTGATTCAGTGAATCAAACATCTGTAGTAGCCTTTGGCTTTGAGGTCTTGTGCTATTTTTATGCAAAATTGTGAGTTGAGGTTTCATAGACTAACTGTTGGGCTGGGAAGCCATCTAGGCTCTATTTCTGACTTTCCCTAGATTCACCGAGTGAGTAAAATTGCTTTTCAGGCTAAGTTATCCAGGTTTCCTGCTCAAATGTGAAATACTTTCACATCTGGTGTGATTCACAGCACGTCTGCAAAGTGTGCTGACCTGGCTCCTCATAAGAACTTCAATAGTACTGTAGGTACCATCGTACAAATGCTTTGATGTTTGGCTCTCTGCACCTTGGTTTACCTATATGTGGATTTAATAAATTATAGAGATAAATGTTATGAGTGCGTAGAATAGATGTATCATCCTGAAACCATTCTGTGTCTGGTAGCAGCTTGATCACTTTCTCTAATTCCACTTCAGTCCCTGCAACCGAAATAGCCTGTTGTGTGTGCTCTAACTACATTGTCTGGTGCCTTTTTAATCTTAGCCAAACATTTGGCTTCCACACACCTTACAGTTGCCAAGCTGCCACTTTAATCGCTGGGTGGTTGGAGTGGGACATGGCTTTCAACGTTACCCTGAAATGCTGGCAATCTTGATTCACTGGGACCTTATTGAAGAGGATTACCTTGGGAGACTCCCGACGTGTGCTCCAGTAAGGACTGTCACAGTGGAAACCAGCTTTGCTGTATTGTTTCTGTCCTTTAGACCTCTGAATCCTTCCAGTATGTACCTCTGTGAATATACAAGTTTGTTTTTCTGGGAAAGAAGCCCTTAGCTTGTATCACGTAACATTCCCAGGACAGAACACGTTTTACGAGATGAGGACGAGGATTACCATGTAAGCAGATGATGTGTACTTGGCCTCTTGACGTATGCTTTTTGTACCTCTTGAGATTCAAATTCTTTTCTGAGTAGGTGAGGATAATACTACTCATCTCCACTTGTGTTTTAAAAAGTGGCATTTTGTGAGAATTTCTTTTTCATCTCCTTCCAATGCACTTGCATTTCCTGGGCAGTTAGTGAAAGGATATGAAATATATCCTGCTTGGCTGTATTTCCCAGTTTGCTGCACCTTATTGTCTAATTTTCAGCTGAAGCTGGGAGGAGGGCACAGTATCCATCAGCCAGACCTGTCTTTACTGCAAATTGTTTTAATTAGTCTGATAGTCCAGCTAATTTAACTGTCCATCCTGCTAAATGCTGTACAGCTGCAAGTTGCTTTCGGAGGGTCTGTTCCTCGGGAAGACTGGCTTTAGAGTGGGTTTGAAAAATTGAAGTAGTTACACGATGAGTTTCCTCATACTTAGCGAAGGCTTAGGAATGGCTTTGCCTTGAATTAGAATTGTTAAATTGGCTAGTATGGAGGAGCTTTCCTTCTCAGCTGGGATTTGTTTTATTTATTAAGTAGCTCACGTGGGCTTTTTATTTCAATGGAGTGGTGGGGTTTTTTTCCCTGACAGTTTGAAAGTCAGAGTGCGGATTCGTGGTGACATTCCTATCCTTGTGTCGTGCAGCTCTGTGTGAAACTGAGGTAGGACCTGGAGCTTGCTCTGACTTCTTTTGGTCAGATTTTTCATTTAGAAGCAGAGTTTTAAGAAGCTACAGGGATAGCAGGCAAGTATTTTTTAATAGATCAAAAAAAGGCAAAGAGGACACACATGATAACATAAATTTATTTCTGAATAAATTGCAACATTAAGAACTACTGTACAGAGAAACTGCATCACACTGTTACAACTCTGTCATGATATTTGTGCTTCGTAGGATAAGTAAACATTTATTCTATCACGGCAAAAAATTGTATACTGACAACTAACTATTTGGTTTAAAAATAAATACACTTTCCCATTTATTAACTCAAAGCGCTTTGAGTCTATAATACTTGGTGCTTTTTATTAACTTTCAGGCTCAGAAATGCCGAGCATTCAGAGTTGCCACTCACGGGTGGGAGTTATGGATGTTCAGCAGTTCTCAGGAGCAGGCCCATGACTGCAGTTACCTTCAACGTACCTGATACATTGACCTTTATCTATCATTGGCAGTAAAGCGACCTTCACTGTTGTGTACGTACTGCAGAGCAGACGTAGAATTACTCATGTTGTTTAATGTTCCACATTAGATTTTGATTCACTAACAAATTGTATTTTTTAACAAATGAGCGATGCAATCATGCAAGTTTAGGAATGGTTTTAAAGAGAAAATTGAGAATATGGCTCTTTTTCATAAATTATTTAAAACTACTTCAAAATTTCCAAAAATATTTAGTGCAAAAGGTTAAGGTTTGGTTTTTTTTTCCCAAGAAATATTACAGAAGCTTATACTGTTATATGGAAAATAAAACATCTCTCAAATACTTTATTGGGAAAAGCAGGCAGGTTTTCTATTACACTATTTGGGTTAGGAGGAGATGAAAGATAAATATTTTCAAAGAAACATCGCAGAAGAGCTGTGATGTGATAACTTATATGTACCTTTAAATTCAAACCCAATCTCTTTGGCAGAGTTAAGAGAATGAACCATGAAGTGCATGATACTAACAGATTATCTCAACAAGACGATACCATAGTATATCTTATCAAACAGTTATATAAATTATATAGTAATGTGAACTATCACATATAGTCCAAACATTTATATCCAAAAGGAACGAGTACGCTGAAATTTTAACAATCACTTTGCTTTCTTATAAGTTACAAAAATTAACGTTAAGATTTTTGTGAGGAGATGGTACTCTGTTCAGATATGAATTTCTTCACCTTATTAATTTATTTGATTAAAACAATGCTTTTTTCACTGCTTTTAACTGATATGTAGCATGTTACACAGTGCTTTAAATAGAAGCACTTTAGGTAAGAAATGTACTATCATTACTCCCTCTTACCAGGTAGGGACACTGAGGCACGGAGGTGAAATGACTCATCCAAGGTCACGCAGTAGGTCCGTCTGCAGTGGGACGGGGCTTAGAAACCTGCTGCCCTGACTCGGAGCTTACTCTGGGGTATACCGGGTGTGGCTGTGCTGAGCTGTGCTGCCTCCAGGTGAAAAGGAATGAGATTTTAAGGGTAATTAGATTTTATTTCCTTGAGAAGCAGACAGGAACAAGGAATAGCTACAGAAGAGAAATAATCACATGAAAAAAACCTAAAAGGTGTTTTCAGCAGCATTTTATTGTGTCATCTAACTGCAAAGGTGTTAAGTGTTCAAAAGTTTTTACTCCTCAGCAGACTATGGGGTATATTAAAAAAAAAAATAAAAAATCTTGGGACACGAGTGTCTCTAGGAATCACGGGACATACCCTGGTTCTAAGAGTTAAACTGTACAAATATTGGTGTCTCAAAACTGAATATTAGCGTACTATCCCATTTTAGCTGAGAGATGTAATCAAGTTGATGAAAATGGAACATACTAGATACTTAATTAAGCCTTTACGGTGTAGTCCATTAATTCAGAAGGCTAAAAATCCATCCCCTCCTCGTACAGTACATTCTATAGCACAACATAGCAAGAGTCCCTCGTGATACAGAAAGATACAATACACCTTGGTTGCACTTTGCTCCTTGTTCAGTCGTGGAACAGACGTGTGTTGTTTCTGTAGAGTTTGTACAGCTTTGCTCATTTTATTCAGCGATGTTCAGAAATCAGTGTTACACAAACCACTGCTTATTTAAACTGGAATAAAACAAAAATGCTGAACAGGTGAGCTTTCTTAACCTAATTCGAGAAGCCAATCAAACAGGCTTGGTGTCATCTCTCTGCCCTCCTCACTGAGCTTGCAGTACTGCACCACGGCATGAAAGATATCCCCCACTTTCCAGGACTTCCGTTGAACCAATTGCACGACATCTAAAAACTAAATAAAAACCCAAAACAAAACATGCTTAGGATTTGGTTAACGTTTTGCTGGGGTTTTGTTAACTGAATGCACACACTCTGCTGTACGACCATCCTTTGTAAATGTGCTGCTGTACGAGTGAGTGGACGCAATTCACCGCGCAGCAGCATAAAGGTTCTTTCTGTTTAGGAAACTGCACTTCTGAAGTTCCATACCTCCCCAAAGACTGGGCAGATCTCATGACATTTTCTGAAGTAGCTGCTCTCATCAATTATTTCTTATTTCTTGCAATGAAAGTAAGAACAGTGAAAGTGAGCTTGATAAAGGATCACCACTTTCATTGTTATCGACAATTTGCTGTCAAATAATGGAAGTGTGACTATCCATTTTAAAGAACAAAAAAAAATCCCTCTTCATTACCATTAGCTGTGTTTTAATTTATATTTAATTTCCCATATTTCCACATATGTGTATCTCAGTATTTTAAATGTTCCCACAGCACTGGTGAGAGGGAATTCTGGGTAAACTTGTCACATGAAGACATTTGCCACAATTGTTGTTGAATCACAGAGAGGATCTATATTTGATTTTTTTTTTAACTTCCAGATAAACCGGAGGTTAAATACATGTTTTTAAGCAGCTGTAAAAAATCCTGAATTTTGTCCACTTTGTACTTAATAATGGGCTTCATAGGGTCATACATCTGGTCCCATTTTTTTCTGAAGCACATAAATGAAAATCAAAGCTTTTCATTTCTTTGAATTTCACAATCAATATCCAATTAGCTTGCTCCTTCTACATTTCCAGTTTTAAACCACACAAGCAAATATTGCGTATCTCTAGTTAGTGTATCTGTTTGCTATTTACATACTGAAGCCTAAACTTCTAATATGTATTTTAATGATATTTAATAGGCACGCGATTTCCAAGACCACTGTTGTAGGCAGGATGTGCTTCATTATTCTCTAGTGTATTTTTGCAATTGAATTAACTGTTTGCCAAAGCACATGGGTAAAGCTGACAGCTGTTTCTTTAATTAGATGCAATTTGGACTGTTGCTGCTGAATGCATTTTAAATTATGTTTATGATTCCCAAATGCATGTACTCAAGAAAATCAAACAATATCTCTGCTACTCAAAATGATCTTCCCATAGACATTATTTTAAAAGACCAAAATACTGATTTGTAATACTTTTTTTCATTAATTGATTTGAATACTGTGACACTTCTTGTAAGCCTTCAGGCTTGAGCCATTCTTGCTGACCTTGGAAAAGGCTGTTTTGGTTATTCCCAAAATGTTGTAGGTGGCATTTGGTGGCGTCTACAACTGAGCAGTGACTAATCGGGAACAGAAACGGGCTGCACTTTTTGTGGCTGCTGTGGACTTCAGTGCTGCTTTTGGTGCTCTGGCTTGGACAAACACCTCGGGAGACTTCTCAGTTCTGGCAGCCTGTGTCTGCCTGCCTCTCTCTGGAAACACTTCTGCTTTCAAAGTGGTGGCTGGCAGAGGCTGAGCTACATCTGACCAGGAGCAAAGGGAACTGGCACACATTGCACTTTTTTATTGCTAAGCCAGGGGAGGCACTTCATAATTTCCATACAACGATGCAAAATGTTTCAATGTGTCAGTCTAATTTTCCAAGTACCAGGTGTGTGATTGCAAAGGTGGCTCCACTGGAAACACTGGTTGGTCACTGCCGGGTTAAACTGTCTGTGAGGGTAGCAATAACGTAAGTGTATGCCGACACAGATAGGTCCATCCTGCCTGTCCTCTGAACTTTTGATCAGCTCTGGTGCAGAAGCCTCGTAGTGGTGGTCTCTGAGACAGCGAACCTGAGCTAGTACAGGTTATCTTTATTTTGCAGTCAGTCTCTTCTGCACGCTGGAGTAGTGGGCCCATTCCCCGGTGAGCAGCAATCTCTTTCTGCCAGCACAAAGTGACTCTAAAGCCAATGCACTTGGCTGTGGTAGATCTCGCGTAAAGGCAGGAGGAACTGTCTGGCCCCTACAGTACCCTGCTGTATCCCCCGCTGTAGCAATTTATGCACAGCCAGGCACAAGCTCAGACCTGCCTGAGGCTGCCCTAATCCGTGTTGCAGGCAAGGCAGAACCTGCAGGAGGGCTAAGGAATTTCCAAGCTGGAAATCTTAAGTACAATTTACATCTCGCATCGTAGTCAGCTCTTACTGTCACCAAGTAGCAGAACTTTGTGTGTGATGTCCACGCACAAGTGATTTTTACCTTTATTTTTTTAAGCTACGTGCTTAAACTCCGTGTGAGCTATCTGCAACCTTTCCAATGCAGCCACATAAAGGGCTCTTTCTGTTAATTCTGCCCTGGGCGTTGATAATTCATGCATCATTAATATGGAAAAGTGAATGGATTCATCAAAGCGTGTTATAGAATCACCATGAGGCCTTCTCCAAAGCCTCTGTTTCTTGTGCCATGGACAATCTACTAAATATTTCACATAGCCTAAATTCTGACACATTTAATCCTCTCCTCCCTTTCCATAATAAACGGTAGCATTGCCATCTTGCTGTAATGAAGATATTTCTACATCTGTTTTTAAGCTTGGCAACTTCAATAAATCATAACTGCTACTCCGATTAACATGAATTAATAGTATGCCTGATTCTGTAAATACTACCTTTTCGATTCTGTTTTCCTGAGATTTCTTAAAATAGATGGTTGGAATTCCAAGTTCAGAAGCGGCTATCCACTGCAGGGTGGCTCGCAGCTCCGCATCAGGGCATTCTGGTTCCAGATCAAAGTTTATCACCAGTAGGTTCTTTTGACAATTGGCTGTTCCCACTGAAAGCCCAGAAGTACTTTCTGGAAAAATAATCTCACCAGTTACAGTGCAATTACTTGTGTTAACTTCAAATCATATGCTTTAATTGATATGGTTCAACTTACCCTCTGTATTTTCTGCCTGTTCTTTAAGGAAAACCTTTTCTTCTACTAATTCACTTAGAAACAAACAACAACAAAGCTTATTAGTGATATTTAGGAACAGTCTACAACATTGCTTCATGATGGATAAACTTCTCCCTCAATGTAAGACCTAGAAAACTGCAAGAAAAAAGTTACATAGGATGAAATAATAAAATGCTGAATATATTTTTTAATCTGTAAATCAGGACAAGCTATGGGAATTGCAGTATTATTCCTGTAACAGGATGAAGTACTTGTACTGGTTGCACTGTGTATCACATTTCACCAGGATCTGTCTATCTTTACAGTTTACATAATGACAAGCAAATGATGTTATGGTAAGACACAGCAAGTCTCATAACCTGGGGGGGAAATACTGAACTTCCAATGTCTGCACTTTGCAGGGCTATTCTCCCTGGCTGAATCTTTTCCAGTCCTGCTTTCCTGTTTTATCTTCCATAGTTAGATACACTCATGCCTATCAATGACTTCACCTACTGTTGGGTTTAAATATAGTAGCTGTTTGGATAAACAAGTTCTGTTTACCCCTTGCAAAAATTTCCAAAGTTCTTAATTTCTTAGGTATCATCCCCTTCTTAAACTACAGGAAACAAACTCCAGTCATGTAGTCACTGCTTCAGCTTCCATTTCTGAAGGTGATAGCCATGCTCATGTACATGTGCCAGGAGACTGCAAATTTGCTATTGATGTCACAGCTATTGCATTCATTTCATTGCTCCTGGAGGGACAGCACTTACAGTACACGTTTCCTGACGTTTCCCATTTTGCCGTCACTCGGGGGCAATGCTACGAGTGTAAGGCTTTGTTTCTATCCTGGGAGAACACTACTCTTACCACCCTCCTTCACAGGATTTCAGAATCTTCCCCCAAGGCTTCAAACAATCGAGATTATATATACTCGTGAGATGGCTACTGCATGACGTGAGAGGAAACAATAAAATGGCAGCATGCACCGCATGGTTTGTCCTGACTTAGAATCCTAGGTGTTTAATAACTTCTTCCCACCAGGGTTTTTTCCAGTTTTCTGTCTGAACAGCAGATGTACTCTGTGCCTTGACCGTGATTTGTGGAAGTACAAACTTCTCACGCCTATTGGCTAACACCTGAGAATAGCCCTGGAAAGCTGACAAGGAGAGTCAGAAATGTATCCCTTTGGTCCTCGGAAATAGAAGGGAGAGGGGTCATCTTTACGAATGTGTGTAGGAGGTATCACTGCCTGCTGTGAAGATGAGAGTGCTTTAACATGGTTAGTCTCTGCATCGGCAGCTGAGAGAATGCATGTAACTCTACAGAAATATGAATGCCCAGATTTCTTACCAAAAAAAGACTCTCGAAAGCAGGACAGTTCTAGTATAGTCTGGTAATGAGCTGTGAAGATTTTCTGATGTCACAGACTTCCCAAAGTTCCCATGTTCAATGCGTGATGTACAATCCGTACACTTCTGCATGGCCCTGACCTGACTGCCTCAGGACATTCCCCAGCTGGCAGGTTGTACCAGGTTTCAGGGTACCGGAATCTTCAGGCAGGTACTTGCACATCTCTTGATAATTTTATGCCATGCCCAGCAACAATAGGTAAGATGTACTCTGGGCCAAAATATTATTGTTCTTGGAAAGAATGCTATGGTATTTTTTTCCTTTGACTTGAATTGATGCTGATTTGCTTGAAACTTACTTGCCATTACAGTAAGGTTTTGAAAATATTTGAAGTTACTGGGAGAAGAAAGTTCACACAATGGGAATCTGATACCTAAACTGTCTTTTAGGCAGAGTGGTTGCTGGATCCATACTCTCTTGAGAGATCCACCTGGGTGGGCTTTCCTGTAATCTGTCACTGTCTAATGCTGTCACTCGGCACAGACACCTGCGTGTGCTTTTTTCTGAAGCTAACGGCAGGCTCAGCAGCAGGTGCAAAGCAGGGCTTGGCACATTTTAGATGGTGTAAATGATTTGCAGTTAAAATTAGACTAAACATCAAGTCTCGCTTCAGTGACTACTTACTTAATCATAGGAGAAGATGGCATGTTCTCCTGATAAATTTCCAGGTCCATAATGCCAAGGCTGCTAGTTGTACTGCTGTTGCCATTGCTGACAAAGCAAAAGTTTAAATATTAGTGCCAAGCTGCACTGAACAAGTCTCCATACATCTTTTTAAAATTTATTTATGTACAAAGCAAAGGGAGGAGGCTGCCCCCTGTTATGCAGAGTTCCATAAAATCAATTGTGCTCAGCAAGTGGTTCCCAGAATGAAGCACACTAATCTGCTCAAAATAATGAGGCTTTTATTAAAATAGTTCTGGATGGAGCATGTATCAAGTGATGCAGTAAACTGGAGGGGAAAAAAAAAGTGGACCAGCTTCTTGTTAATGTCTTATGCAATGAATGTTTGGCTTCAAACAAAAAAACAGTCTGCATGACTCCTTTAAAAGAAGGATTATCAGGTACAGAGATGTCCTGGAAAAAACCTGCAGAGATTCAGATACCTCTGAACATGGTGAGTTACAGCAAGGCATTTGGTTGCCCATCATACTACTTACCTGCTGGGTGACTCCATGCCTGTAACCAGCAGCAGTTTCAGTGTATTACATCATACCTCAAATACTATCGGGGATCTGATGGAACCCACAGGTACAGTGACGGCCCCTTATGTTTCAGACTACTCTGGAAGACTGAGATTTTAATTAAAGCCCGTGCTCACTGAGACCAGTAATACATAGAAGTATTCTCTTTGGCTTCTTCATAAGAATGAAGTATTACATCTGAGAATATTTGGAAAAAGTAGTACCAGTTCACTTTATAACATCATTATAAATTTATCAGTGAATGTTTATGCCGATATTGTAATAGTCTCATGAACAGGTTGTGAATTTGCTGGCTGCGAGTCAATTAGCACAAACAAGTTCCGTGTGGCGAGTCAGCTTGAACCACTTAATTTTTACTGGAAAAGCAACTAATAGTATTTTTCCTTACATTAGAAGGATTGACTAGACAGTTCCTTTCGCCATCAGGTTTTTCTGAGTCAGTGTCAGCACGCCATGCATTCAGACTTGCTGTAGCAATTTCTGTTTCAATGCAGAGCCAAAAGGCACAATACATTAGCTCTCTCAGACAAAGGACTTGTTAAAGGTTGATACTATAATAATGGGATGAATGTTCACCCACACTGACAGACAAGTTTTCTTCAGAGTTTTTTCAGCTAGCCAACAGTGCTCTCTGACAGAGACTCTTTCTCTTCCCTGCTTCATTACCATACTGTCTTCCCTTCTTGTCGTCTTAATACCCAAGAGAAAGATGTAATTACTTAACAATATTTTAAAACCTAATGTAAGAGCATGTGAAGAAAAAAACCTTGCTCAATTTGAATTCGTGAAAGGGTTAAAGGCAAACTAACATCACTTGATATAAACTCTGAGGACTAGATAACATCTTTAAACACATGTCCTGACTTGAACAGGAACAAAAAGCAGCACGTTGCAATGGGAGCTCTGGAATTTATGCCTGCTCAGGAGTAACTTGGCCATCCTCTGTTGATCTGCTCCCCTGTGCCAATCTAAGCAGATCAGGGCTCTATCTCTGCTCTAAATGCACAGATATCCAGTGGGAATAGCGGTCTCATCAATCTCAGCTAAGGAGATGCCCAAATAAACATTATGCAAATAGCAGAAAATAAATCAAAGGAGACCATAACAGCTTGTCCAATGACCCTTTCACTGTAGGACTGAGCTGCTTGCATGGTGCAAGGAAGTTTTTTTTTCTTTGTCTGAATCTAGCTGCTCACCAACAAAAAGAGCTGGCTAGGAACTAGAACGTGGCTAATTTTTTTCCCTTTTTAACAAAATAAAGATATGAACTCTGTCATTAGGCTTTCTGACTAGTATTCTGACTAAATCTTGAGCTGCTGACCCTCATTCCTGATGCATGGTAGTCAAATCATTGGCTTGGTTGATTACTGAGAACAGACAATATGGGTACCTCAGGGATCGCTCGCTGAGTTGTAAGTAGCTACTTGTGTCGTCGGGGTTGTCCTCATCGTTAGCTAGCTGGGACCAGCTGCCAGTGCTTTCTTCACTGCTGCTGAGATGGTTTGGAAATTCTTCAGCTGTTTTTGTCTCTCCTATGATTTCAGCATCTGGTCTGCTCTGAGGACTATTGCTGGTAGGATGATAAGGAAGGCACAGCAATATTATAATATAGGCAAACAAAGTGGTGCTACCCATCTTCAGGCAATGCTGCTCATTAAAGTCAACCCAGCTGCAAAATTATACAGATGTAAGAGACTGGACAAGTTTATAGTTTATACACGAAGTCCAGCTCAACATATGGTCTGAGATCTTAAAAAAGGATCTTCTTATGACTGTTACAAGCAGCATAGAAAAGGTTTAACTTGTACAAAAAGATTTTACATGTACAAAAAGAACTGCTCACTGCATAGGCCTATTGCTTAATGCACTTCAGTGGTTGAAATACGTGGTATATGTTAGTGCAGAATGACAGCATTTCTTGGAAATACATATTGGCACTAAATCCCTTTCCTACTAAAGGGTGAGTAAGTTTTTTGCCAGGGTTTTCTACTGTGTTAGCACTGTAGATCCAAAAGAGGTCTAGAAGGAATAGTAGGAGAGTATTGTGGGTTGTGAATCCCTAACAATTCTTTGCCTTCTGTACTTCTTAGGATCTCTGCTGCTTAGGCTGGGGAAGGACAAAACATTCTTTTTCTAGGTAGGTGTGCAGCAGGTAGTCAGAAACCAGACTGAATATGGAGCCCAGACAGAGTTTAGAAAATACAGGATTAAGGGGAAAATGCTCTGTAATTCTGCATGCTTGACATGTCACACATACAGAGATAAGTATGCACGCTGCCACAAATGCACACACAAACAAAAAGTAAAAACTATATTTATGGTAACTGTTCAGAGCCAAACTGGACGTTGTGATCTTTACCCTGGGACTTTTGATACGCAGAATATAATAATCCAAACCCCTCTTTTTGGACGATAATAAAGAGTTAATTATATCCCTGCAGCACCAGAATAACAATTAAAGCAAAACTGTAATTTGTTATATTTACTGGATGGTCTGCATTTGCAACTTTGTGACTAAAACAATGTAATGTGTACTGGCAATCCTCTGCAGGATCCTTCTAGAGAAGTTCTCACCCTCAGAGTTTTAGCTATAGTTATGGCTGAGGTGCCTGCCTTCAGTTAGAGCAAGAGATCATCCCAAAAATTCTATTACTCCCAACTAATTAACTTGATTAAGAATATACTGAGATAGTATCATTGTGGATATCTCCTCCTGCTATGCTCTCACTCTCAGGACAACTGAGAAGTTGCTGCAGTAATGTTGGATGTTAAAGAGAGATGGAGCTTCCTGTACAGGGAGAAAGGGAGTTGTTTGCCTGAGGGCCGCTGGTCTACCAGGCAGTCAACATCTGTCAAATAACTACACTTGCATCCCTGACCCCTTGGGTACAAAACTCATCATCTGTAGTAGCATGAAGGCACTGAGCAGCCAGGTGGCAGGGTAGTGGTGTTATTCAGATTTTTAATACAGGGCAGGTAGCACCTAATACTTGGTCCAAAACATGAGAGATTTTTGTGGGGGCTGTTACTTCGCGCTTCAGGTTTTGTTTCATTCGTTATGCAGTTACATCTCAGACCAGCGATGCTTTGAACTGACAGTTCCTGACTTCTGAACAGTCGGTTGGAATGGTTTCTGTGTATCTGTGGCAGGACTGAGTCTGTTGCACTGCCTACGCACAAGAAATAACTCTATTTCCTTGCTGAAGACCTCTTCCTCAGGCCCGCATGGCTTTTTTTTTTTTTTTAATATTATTATTTATTATTTTATTTTTTCTAATTGACTGTATGTCTGCTTGATATTTTGCCTGGAGTCCTATGTGCCTGTATCTGCACTAGCAAGTAATTTCATGAGGTAGGAGTGGATCAGTGGATCAAAGCACTTGATGCTGATGTTTTTATATCTACCTTGAATATATTTTTGGGGTTTTATTTCAACCTAGACTTGGTCCAGACAGCCATGCCACAAATGGTTCATATCCATGTGAAGAACCACTGGAAGCTTTGCCCTCCCAGTAGGGGTACCAGCACATCTGGTATGCGCTTACGTAGCTTCTGTTTTGAGATTCCGTTAAAAGAAATCTGCATTGCATGCTGCAAATGGAGCCGATGCATGGAAATGGAGACAAGCCGATTCAGAACTGTGCTGCAATGCTGAACCAAAATGTTCACATAGGCGTAGCCTCTGGGCACCAATTCTGCCCTACCAATCCTACTGCTTTAAACTTCCCATAGCCACTTTAGGAACTATGCATCAAAGGCAGAGGAAAAGTTGTTATTAAAGGGCTCATATGAAAATAACTTCCTTTTCAAAGAGTCAAGATTCTAAATAGGCAGATTTCTAAATGTATCTTATTAAAAGCAGGTTCCGCTCAAAGGAAGAGGAAGGTTAGTGGGGGAGAGTCACTATGAAAGAATAGCAACACTATGATAATTATCCACCTAATTACTACCATACACAGGGAAGTACATGCTTTCTCACTTCAAGCAGAGCTTTGTCAAAAGCCAAAACAAAGCACTGCCTAGAATAAAATGAGCTACAAAATGGTTTCTGACACTAGCACCTGCACTCTTTCTAGCACTCTGAGATAATGGGGTGTTGCAATGCTCCAAGTGATTGGCAGCTTAGATACCATTAAAGTAACAGATACGATGAAGAAGTATAGTTAAAAATAGGCAGTGCCTTGAGAGAAAGTCTTGTTCTTAACCTCGTAGCATCCACAGCAATCCTCTACGTTTGCACTGCACTCTCATACTGCAGGGCTTACCCTTTGCCTTAACCAAAGCAAGTTGCAGATTTCTCAACAAAAGGAGTACAGCTATAAGGAGAGGGTGGCAAGCTGCGGTATAGACTCCGTGAAATGAAATTTTATTCTCTTCTCTATCTAAGTTCTAACAAAGAAATCTCGAATCAAAGGAGGTGGGGGGTACTTTTAAATACTATTTTATTTCTTCCACTAAAGAATGTTTTTTACTTGTAGCTCCAGATTGTAAACACAAAACTTCAAGCTCTCGGAAGCCTGGTCTTGTTTCTAGGTACATTACGAAAGCATTAGTTATGTGAACAAGTGTAGCAGAGAACGACAGGTCAAATTCTGCTATCTTTTGTTTTACACTAGCACTGATTTTTAGTTTTATTTTTTTTTAATTGAGATATCAGCCAACGCTAAATGAAAGTTCAAACTTTGCTCATCTTTCCTGTCTTGACTATGGAAGACTTAAATATCTGTACAGGAAAAACCTACTTTTTTGTGCAGTATTAGATTTGAATCTCAGAACCATAATATTTTCATATTCAATGTAAGTTTGCTCCAGAAATCAGCACTGTGATATATGATTGGGTGATTTTATACCATTAGAAACCTGTAGCCAGAACTTAACCTGTTTGTTTCTCTAAAAACGCTTCTCTTCTTATCTCATTCCTTTATCAAAATAATATTTACTGGGAAATTAAAACAAACACCAAAGCAATGTGCTGATTTGCTGGTTTGTCGCTTACCTATTTAGCAGGGAACTAGAAACAGCGTGTTTCCCATCAAAAGCTTCTGGAGGTTTTTCTTTGCTTTGAAGTTCCTTTCCAGAAGGGTCACATGAAGTTAGGGACTCAGAGTCTTTATCTGGCTCATCTCGTTGATCGGTTTCTATCTGAATTAAAGGCACTTCCCTGTGCTGACCTGCAGGGAGGCATCCAGGGCTCTTCATGTGCTCTTTTTTCTTATCCAAATTTACTCCATCTCTTTTGGGTTTTGATTGAATCTGAGTTGCGCTTTGGGGATGTTTGCTTTCCAGCACATGTTCTCGGCTTGTATAATCAAAGGAATCCTGCTGGACAACAATTAGATTTTTACCACTTTCAACAATATTTGCAGCCAGTCTGTTTGCATATTGTTCCACATGCGGTGGGGAATCACTATGAAACTGGTCTGCCTCTGCCTCATCCGCTATGATTTTGTTCTTGCGCATAAGAGATTCAATAGAACTTGCCCATGTCTCGTGAATCAACATATCTGTAATCTGGTCAGTCTTGCATCTTTGGTACAGGCATGAGTCAGACTTGCAAAGACCTGCAGAAGCCACGGTACTGACTGGCTGTACACTTAAGGAATCTTGGTGATGGTGAGCAAATCCATCTAATGACTTTGCCTTAACCGGGACATTAACTGTTAGCCTAGAGCCTGACAATCTGCTGTCAGGAACTGACGATTGCCTAAAGCAAAAAGGTGATCGTAGAGAGGGTGGTAGCAAACTGCTGCACCAGTCCTTTGAATTCCGAGGGGAAGATAGGTTATCTTTATTTTCTTTTTCTATTTCTCTTAGCATATATCTATAAAATTCTTCTGTGATGCTTTCTGTGCTGGACTGTTTGGATGGGCAACTTGGTCTTACATTAAGATGACCATTTTTCTTGGCTACCTGTTGCAAAGCAGAAGTTAAGATGTTGTTTGCATTTTTTCCTGCATAGTAATCCAGTAATAAATCAAACCCTCTTCCTTCATTTTCCATCTGGTTCACCATAAATCTTGAAAATTCATCTGTAATGCTTTCACAACTAGACTGCTTTGAGACAGAACTTGTCTGGCTCACAGGCTGACCAAAGGTGTTCATTAGGCCTAGGGTATTGAAAGAGGCTTTGGAATCTGAGTCCTCCTCCGGTATGCTCTCGCAGCTTGAGGCCTTGGCTCGGCTCCATCTTTCACAGTGCAACCTGTTCCTGGGGTGGTTTGGACCTTGCCAGATGCTATCAACCATGGAGAGTTCAGTGAGGTTCATGATCTTGGCAGCCACTTCATTTGCAAAGATATTGACTGAATCTGGTGTGTCCTCAAGGTTTATAGATTCATCTACTACCCGATTCATCAGTCTTTCCTTTAGCTCAGGATGCTCATCTGTTTTTCTTTTGATCTCGCTAAGTCTAGGTGCCCTGTGCTTCCGAACAACTGAACCATTAGCATGGGTTTCCTTTTTCCTTTTCATGGTTCTGCATGATAAACCCTGGGTCACCAGATATTCATTGCCTCTCTTCCATGCACAGAACCAGGGTTGCTTTCCATTTGAATTTTCAAGACAAATGGCAGCTATTTCTGTTGCCATAGAGACAACTGTTTCTGCCAATTCTTCTGCAAAATCTGCTATACAATATTTATCCCTTGAATGTTTCACTTGTAGCACAGGCTGAGAAGGAAGCAAGACATGATTTCCTAATAAAGACAAGCTAACCTGAACATCATTATTTAGCACAGCCTCACACTTCTGCTTGGCCTGGTTTTCTGCGTTCATGGTGGCACTGGAAGACAGCTGTTCTTGAACACCATGCCTGCATTCATTGCTTGCAAAGGTATTTTCTCTGTCTGAAAATGATCTGTAGTCTTTCTTCTTCTGATGATTGTTACCTTGATTTGGGGATTTGTTACAGTCTCGCGCAGTTCTTTTCAGGTACCTTTTCTTGGGAGATGTTTTTGCAACAAGTGTGCTAGGTCCTGTAGCTCTACTTGTTGGTTCTGAATTCAGTGTGGCACTTTCCTTGCTATTTACATCTTTCATATTACTTTTCCTAGTGTTTGTGAGGTTTCCAGGATCTTTGCTAGTGCTGCAGAATGTACCAAGTGGCTTGACAGCAGAGTGATCAAGTGGGCTGTGTGAAGTTCCACATGCTGTTGCCTGTGTTGACCATCCCTCTGCTCTTGTTACTTTCTCTGCTTTTGTGCCCTCAGAAAAGAGAGGAGAACACTCTTCAACTTGTCTTATGTCATTCATCTTCTTGCAAGTGAAATATATTACATTAAAAAGTAACTCGTTTGCAGTCTCCGTGAAAATGTCTTGTGTACTTGAGCCATTTTCTGAAGGGGGATGTAGCTGTCTCTTCTTCCTGACCTCTTCAATAGAATGTCGTAGAATAATATTGGATAAGTTTTGCGCAAGTTCATCCCTGATTACTTCACCAGTGTGTGGAATCCGCGGCCTTGCTGCTGTTTCAATAATTTTTCCATTTATGGATTCCATAAAATGCCCTACATTTTTGTATGTGTTGGGTTTTGTCAAAATTATTGATGCCTCTTTGAGAAGTGCCTCTGCAATGCTATCATTTAGTTTCTCCATGCTGCTTCCTATCGCTATGCTACAATGAAGAGTAATGGCTGCCGAAGTCTGAGCAGCAGACAGAAGTCCACTCGAAGTTGCAGGATACTTCTCTTCCTTTGTTTCCCCCAGACCACAGACGGCTACGGCACTTGCTACTTGAGTCATGCCACACAGCGCAGATGGAAATGAATATTCTGTGCCAGCATAGTCGTCAAGTAGCTGTGAAGATGCTGTGTGTAGATCTTCATTATCAACCACTCCGCTTTTAGAGTCTGTGGCTTCTTGATCCCATCGGAATTTTTCTGCAGCCTGGGGACTGGAAATGGTTCCAATAACAGTTGCTGCACAAGCCAGCGCCACTTCCAGTGCGCTCTGGCCATGTCCGTTCGAATGTTCTTCCTCAAAGTAATCCGAAACTTCAGCAGAACTTTCTGATTCGTTCCAGTGGCACAGGTTGGGGAAGACAGGCCCTGGCCAGTCAGGTATATTCTCACAACTGTCTGGACTTTGCACTATGACAATCTTTGGAAGTTCATTCCATGATTGGGAAGCAGATACGTCTTCTGTCTTACAGGAGGTTCCTACGGAGATGCTGACTGCAGCCTCCTCATTAAAAGTGGGTTGAGATTGTGACAGTCTAATGAACGCATCTTGCAGAACAGATTCTGCTAAATTTGTGGCATACTGACCTGTAGTCACCCGCTCATTTTGTGAGGGAAGATCAGTTTTCCTGATACCCGCATAATCCTCTCCCTCTGTCTTACTGTCGTGTTTTGCTGTTGGGTCATACAGAGGCCCCAGCTCCTCTTTAGCCATTTTGGTTAAAGAGACATCTTCTAACGTGTGCGCTGAGCAGGAATTTTCAACATCACTAGTCAAATTAGTAGTACTAAAGGATGACGTAGCTCTTCCAGCTAATTCCTTTTGCCAGAGTATTTCCTGGTCTGACTTATCTTGAGGCTGTAAGATGCCATCTTCAGACACAACATTTACAGCTTCAGAGACTCCAGTAGCTGCACTATCTTTATTAATGCAGTTCCCCTCAAGAATGAGTGGCAGCCTGGCTTTTCTGTAGTGGAGATTTTCAAGTCCCTTTCCTTTATTTTTTTTAACATCTGAAGATGCTTCTGAAACACTTAATTTTTCATGACCTAGTAAAAGAAAAATAAATTAATTTTTGCAGAGTATCCCGTAACTTTAAAAAGAAAATGGCTGCACTGTGTAACGCATTACTGCTCTGTAAAACTACTGCACAGCCATGTAACCTTGTCTTTGAGCAACAATTTAAAAATACGAGTGGCTGTCCATTTTCTAAATTAAAAAGAAATATATGAGTGAATTAACATCAAGTGCAATTTCTGTGAGCATTGCCATGGCTGTCTTGCAGTATTAACAATAGCAGAATTACGGTCAGTCCCATTGCTTTTACCAGTTTTATATTCATCAGCCTCATTGTCATCCTCGAGGTGCTCAGATGCTGTGAGGAAATCTTCTTCTATTGAGGACACTGAGCAGTTTGTGTCATCCTCAGGCTTTAAGACGTGGGTTTCTATCTGCAGCTGTCTCTCCTGAACGAGCTCAAGTCCAATCAGAAACTTGTTTATTTCAAAAATGATGCAGCTTGCACTGTTTTTCCTGTCCCCCCTTGCACACTGAACCAAGCAGACATCTGCCAGCCAAGGACACTAGAGGGGAAAAGAATCTCAAATAGTTATTTAATTAAAAAAAAAAAAACAACCTATTTTAAGTTTCCCTCTCTATAAATATGTCAGGAATGTTCTATTGCAAAAGATGCAATATAATTTGTCGTTTAGATGTTTGTAACACAGCGTGCAGTTACATATATGCCAAAATAAGACTGCTTGGACTGACAGCTTTTGTTATACAAGCAGTTTAGTAGGGAACCTAGATGTATCACAGGGGCATCTTTATTTTGTTGAAATTACCAAGCTGTTTGGTTTCAATCAACTTCTTGTTTTAATGACAGAGACTTATTTGCTTTTAGCCATGTCAGAGTTAGCCATCTGACATACTGTTATTAACAGCCTCACACCACCCGGTATTACCTGTCTCTTGAGGGAATTGTTTGTGGGCATGAATTCCTTTTCAGAATAATTTCTGTTGCAACACTTGTATGAAGGTAGCCCTGTAAATACTGGGAGGCGAGACTGTTAAGAGCAGGTCACCTTTAGATGTTTCTGCAGACTTTTGGAATAGTGGTTTTTTTTAGTTTTGTTCCTTTGCTCATCTTCCTCTCATTCCTTAGTTGCCCAAAGCCCCCTTATTTCAGACCTGTATAACTGCCACTGGAAATGGGGCTCTGCTGTGCTGTGCCTTTATATAAAACTGTCTTCCCAGAGAAGCTGTACAATTAAGTTGGAAGTTGGACAGAAACTCAGAGAAAGAAACTCTTGTTGTCCTCATTTTATTGATATTAAAACTGTTGGATATTTATACAACCACAGAGCTAATCTGATATCTCTGCATGGGACTACATTTGTGGACTGGATGTACTCGAAAGCAAAGCCAAGCTTTTGCAGCTTGTGCTTTAACTCCAGGCCCCTAGGAAGGAGGCAGCTTGAGTGGACCCAACTCTGGATCGAGGTGGTAGATTTTAAGCTGTGCAAAAGATGCCCTGAACCCCCTGTGCATTTCAACAGTATCTAGCATAATGTAACCTCATCCTAGATCTTTCGTCTTTGAGTGTGAATGCCCAGCAAATATCTAGTAATAAAGGGAGTGGGATGAGTATTATGTTGGAATAGCATGTTTTATTAGCCAGTTGTTCTTCCTTTCCACCTAAAAGTGTATCTGAACAGAGAAACAGATAAATTAGTGTGTTAAAACAGAAAAGATAATTTTTTTCTTTAACTAGCTGCTAAGAAATTGTTGCTGAATCAGACTTGAGCATACAATGTATTGTGAAAAATGTTATTCAAAACAGATGCAGCCTTAGATCAAACATTCTCCTGCTGTTTCTCCAGTCCACAGTTTGCAGGGTTGCACTTGTGAAAAGAGCTAAGGTGGAGCAGAATAAAAATCCTTGTATGAAAACAAGGCAAGTGTACTTACAAATTAAATTCTCTGGAAAGCCAAACAAATGCAAGGACAAACATAGCACGTGCTCATCTGGCCAATACATCTCATCCAGTCTCAATGCAAAGCCTTACTCATCTTACAAGACAAACTTAGGTTAGTTCTCATTTGTCTCTTCCCTACTTTCTCTCTGAGAAGGCTTCCAGTTGCAATGGCCGCAGTCTTTTGGAGATGGGGATGACTTGGGTACTTGAGTCATCTTGTTCAGGCCTTGAAACACCCTTGTGTGTATTGCAGCAGCTTCCAGCCAGGGAAGTGGGGTTTGGAGCTCCACTGCTCCCACCACAAGCTTATGCTCTTATTTTTAAAATCTTTCTAAATTCAGCCATTACTCACAAGTGGCAAGAACGTTCAATAACCAGGCAATTTCTCTCTTTAAAGATCAGTTTATTGGTATAACATAAAATTCAATGATCTTTGCCATACAGCTGTTCCAGGGCCTACTTCATGAAGACCTTTGTAGACAAGTTAATTTCAGTGGAAAAAAGTTTTCTGGTTTGTTTTTTTTTCTGCAGCAGAAAAACATGAACAGGTATCTCCAGATTTAAGTTTGCTGAGACAGTTTTGTACTCCAGGGTAGCTGTGCAGTTTTAAGTTGTTCCCAATTCACGCTTGGCCAAATGAGATCAGAATCAGGCTAAAAAATACTGGAGTATTTTTTATTCTCTTTCTTCACACAGACATGAATAGGCATAAAGTATGACAGAAATGGAAAGGAGTAAAAAGCTTTTTATTACAATAAGGAGTTAAGCGTCTGGAACTTGTGTATTAAAATGCCTTTAACTAAATGTTATCATTTGCTTCCTTTCTCTACATGGTGCCAGTAAGAGGAATTCTTGGCCTCCAGATCACAGATGGGGAATGTTTCATTGGCAGTAATGGGAGTGAAGGAGTTAGCATGAGAACTTTGCCTTTAGCTCCTTTAAATGTTAAGTTTTAATTAATGCATTAATTACTTTTTTATTTGACAGAAGCCAGATGAGGTATCAGCTCTGATATGGTTAATGTAGCTTGGTATTTTCCATTGTCAAATACTACATACAGTAGCCTCTAGGATATTCAAGTCCTATCATCAGCTCTTTTCTGAGGTGCATGTGTGGGAGAAGATGGATTGGGAACAACAGTGGGAAGTAGCAAGACTTCACTTGAAAGGGAGTCTGTAGGACCTGTGCCCCAAACTAGCTATGTGCACAGAAAAAGTGCTACATCTTTCCTTTCCCCCTTCTGTGCTGCCCTTCTGACTCCTGCTACTCCTGAAATCTGGGCTTATGAATCATCTCTGCCACCAATGCCTGCCTTCCCTGAAGGATCAACCACTAATATGGCTTAAAGCATTATCAGCTGCAACCCAGACATCCACAGGATCTAGGGAGAATAGCATGATCTCGCTCCTATTTTTGTGCCACCCCCCTCCCCCCCACTCTTAACAGACTTTTGTTAGACAGATTGATTTTTTTTTTTTTTTTTAATGCTTGCAGACTCCCACTCATCTCTTAAACTGGTGCAATGTCTTTGCCTTCAGCTTCCTTTTTTCCATTTTTCAAATTCCATCCTTCACAGGTGTGATATGATCTTAAAGATGAGTTTGATTCCTACCTGGGAAACTTCATAATCGGCCTGAAGGTTTCCTGATGCTAATCCACTCAGCAGGACTATTTCATTTTCCTTTGGTGGCTGTACGTTCATTGAACTGATGAGTTTGGGGAGGTTTGGAGAGACACTGATCAACCTCTGTAGTACGAAAGATAGATTTTGCTCTCAGGTAATGAAGTCTGAGTTGCACAGTTACATTCATAAATATCAAAATGAAATACCACTTACAGGCATCCCTTTAGAAATCATACTTGAACTTACTCATTTGAGTCAATTAAAAATAGAACTGCTTGCATTAGAATGCGCATTCATTCTTTTGAGTCACCAAGCAAGACAACAGTGACAGAATAAACTTCTGCACAACTGTCCAGCAGGACAATCTGTCATCCGTTACATTGTCATGTGCTAAACAGCTTGATTGTTTTTGTGCATCTAAATGCTTCGCCACCCTATTATGAGTGAGTTCCTAAGAGACTAAGAACACTGTGTCTGTTATGGTCTAAACGAGAAAAGATTCAGTAAGTACGGTAATGAGAACAGGGCAAATTTTCCAGTTTTACTCCAGGCATATGATAAGCAAGAAACCAAAGGGAAAGTTAGCTCGAAATTGCTGATCAAACTGATGAGATACTAAACCTGGCATAAGGGAACTATTTAATACACAGACAAAATATACTTTTCTTTGCTATTCTGCTGGACCTTCATGACCTTTCATTTGTAATGATACAATCATTTTCTACCTGTTATGTATTTGCTAGAGCAAAAAGTGGTAATAGTTACATCATCAATGATGCTATGTAACATAGAAGATTTGTATTGCAATACCGCTAGGAGTCCCAGCGAGGTGCAGGAGACATCTGTGCTCATTTGTGTACAAAGGCCAGACCTAAAGGACAACACCTATTCTAAGAGTGCTGGCAATTCTTTTCTGCCAAGGATCTCGGTGTGCTTGCTTTATGAGCAGGGAATCAAGGATGACCCCTTACAGAGGGAGCAAATACCATCTCCATTTTATGCACTACCACAGCCCATCAAATGGCAAAGCCATTAATGGAATGCGGATCTCGGGCACCCAGCCATATGCTTTAGTTACTGTGCAATTCAGTGATACTTCACTTATTCCTTTTCATCTTGCTTGCATAATAAGCTTGCAGTACTGTTATTTTTCCTCAGAGTGAATTAGATATAATAAAACTTTCTGGCTTAGCAAATCTAATTCAATTTTGGGGAACAATTCACTTTTCAGTAGACTGATCTTCAGATGAGGCTAAGTATTTATATTTGACATAACTAAATTCAGTTCTTCAGTTTGACATTTCAAGATAGTACAAAAAAGTTCTCATCCTTTTCAAATTATAACCTTTCTATTATCACACTCGTTTCTCTATGTATCTCTATTTTTCTACTGCCTAAATTGCCACATTTAATCAGATTTCTTAGGTAGGAAATCATGGCATTTGGTATATCTCTTACTTCAATTCCTTACCTTTTGTTCAGAATAAAAAAGGAAAAGTCTGGAGAGATGATTATTTTACACCAAAAACCCCCAATTTAACCCATTCCAGGGTTCAAAGGGTAATGCAAAATCCTAACAGTACCTATTAGTAAATAGTTATATATTTCATATGAACAACAGCTATGGTAACATCTTTAAAATTCTTCTATGAAATGCTTTCACCACATCAGTGTGTTGTACAAAATTCCACCCCACTCAAAGCTAATTTACTCAAACTGCATATTATACACAAAAATTGTGATGAACGAGTTTTCTCTTAGAGAAGAGTACACAGTACCTGTGCTAGCAATTAATTTTTATTACCTATACTGAAAACTAAAAGAAAAATATCATCTCCCAGTCAGGCCAATAAATGTGTTGTCTCTGCTACCAGAAACTACCTTTCTAAACTGGGGCCAAACGCTGCGGTCTCTCTGTTACCAGTCCCGCCACGTGCCAGGCGGGAAGCGCCAGCTGTGGGCATGTCGGGGGGCAGAGCTCCGGGGAGCCGACTGGGCTCTGCTGCAAAGGAGGAGCTTAGGGCTGTGCGAAGCGCACGGGTGGTGAATGCACTGCTGCTGTAGGGCTGATAGGTAAAAATCATGCAGCTGGTTTCAAAGGTGATTACGAGAGAGTAATTTAATCTCCAGGCACTGTAAAGGGTAGCTGCATAAAGCTAGTTTAAGTTGGCTTTTACAGATATCTAGCTCTAAGATTGAGGGAGAAACTTTTGGTATTTCCTTATGAGTTGCTATAGGTTTTGTTCCTTAATAAACACTGTAAACAACAATAAAAACATTGCTTGCTGGAAAATAACCAGTGCTTCTGTGGATTCAGTAAAGTTGAGCCTCTCAAGCTGTTCTGCACAGTTAACCTGCTGATTCAACAGAAAAATAATTTTGCTGTAAGAAGCCGTATTTATTTTTGACATCTGAATTTTTACAGATCTAGGATGCAGAAAACAGCACAGAAAAAACAGTTCCTACTAACGAATGACTTGCAGGAGGCAACAGGGTCCCAGCATTGGTTGTCCTCCTATAAGCTAAAAGTGGTTTCAGCAAGCTAGCTGTAATGTTGTACTGAGCATTACTGATATTGTCAGGAGATCCTACCTTTGTTCACTTACCACATATTGCTGTGTCGATCATAGGCACCAAGCCAGGATAATGAAAATGAATTGATAAAGGAAGATTTAAAGATATCACCTGGTGTCAGTTTTGAGTTTAAATGTGACTTCCTCAGATTTGAGGCGTTTTTTTGGAATGGTATATATTTTAAGTAGCATATAATGATGTAGCTTGTCTCAGTGTTTGTAAAATAACCAAGCTTTTTTCTTCTTTTGAATGCCTTTTTTCTACCCTCAACATTTTGAATTAAGTAGGTAAAACACACCTTCAGTTCTGGTTTATCTAGACCCCTCCTTGAGACCACATAATCAAACTCTCTGGAGTTTGACTGAGCAAGACTGCTCAGCTGAAGAAGACGTAAATGAGTAGAACCTTCTCAAAGATTTTTGGCAGTAGGAAAGAGAGACATCAGAAATTTATATAGTATTATGTCAAATTAAAAAATTGGATGTATGACACATCCATGTTCACTTCTTTGATAAAACCAAGGCTGAGCAAGAAGTCCGCTCACATGAAAACTGCTGTGAATTCACAGGCTGCAACAATCTGTTAGATATTTCTGGGATGAGGGAGTAAGAAAAGCTATAAAATATGGCCTGGTGTTGAGATAATTTCAGATTCATGATGCATTGCACTCTGTGAGGGTTAAAAATATAGGGCTAGCTTTGATTTGTCCGTAGAATTTTGATCTGGGTTTATATAGGAGAGTCCTGCTGTACCTGACTAGACCCACTGCGCATGTTATCAAGACCTAAACGGTTACCTGTTTCACTTGCTCGTCGCTACAGTCATCTCTGTTTGCATCTAAGTTCACAAAACAAACCTGTAATAAGAAAGAAAAATAAATGGTAGCTTATAAAGTCATATTGAAATGGTAGCAACCTTCTAAAGCCAATATGTGTTCCTTTTCTAGCCTTGTAGCTGAATATGTGAAGCCTTTTCCTATTACAAGAAAGGTTGAAAAGTTAGCAAAGAGAATAGCAGAGCAGACATTAACAGAGGAGAAAAAAAGGCATACAAGTGAGTCATGACTTTATCTGCTGTGACAATTAGCTTGTCTGATGAATGGGCAAATGTTGCCAATAAACTGTAATACAGAGGATATTAGAAAAGATAGAGCAAACGTTAAAATGCATTTGACTGTATATCAGATCAGCTCTTCATGTCTTGCGTTTTCCAATGATTTCTTCTTTTCAGGCACTTGTTGCTAAATATTTCATAAGCGCAAGTACTGATATATGTACAAATTGTGAGTTGCTTTTACTATTTTCTCCACATCACATAAATATTGTAGTATTTTTACTAACTTTCCAAACTTCCTAAGAAGAAGTTTAAGACTTTATGGAAATAATATTTTTTTAACCTTGGTTCCTGAGCCAATATGCAAGCAGAAGTTTTCAGCAGTGCTAATTGGGCACTATAGTAGGTGGCAGAACAGCTTACTATCTGTTAAATTTACATGAGATTCACTAGAAAGTGCTACTTTTAACAACAAGGTCTTTTGCCCCCTTTTTAATCATGAGTTTCAGCAACCATTTAATGGTAGTGAGAATTGCTTAAACAGAAAGTTCAGATCTAAAGACCATTTAATTTCTGGATACTATTTTATTTTTTTACATGACTGGAAGGCCATTTTCTAATTTTCAGAAAAAAGAAAATCCTCCTCCAGCTTTATTTCTGAGTTAGAAGCAGGGACTCCAAAGCTCAGCTGACTGTCCTACTTCTGAGTGCTGTGGATATCTCTTTAGAAGTTTGTGAGAGTTTGGTGGAGTTCTGATTTAACCCAAAACCTGGCACAGATTCAGGGCTGAGCTGAAGCCAACAGCTGATTCCAAATAAATTGCAGATCCAGAATTTAACTCCTAAGAGCTGAGTGTTTGTTTTATTTTCTTTTGCAGCAAACAATAAATGCTTCTAAAAATAAATTTCCTCTAGAAAAATAAGATGCTTTAAATTATCCCCTTCACCAATATCCTTGCATTAAGTATCTGAGCTCGTATTGTATGCCTTCTTTTACCCCAAGACAACACTGGTTTCAGTTTATATATGCACATACCATATGTACAGATTATGACCATCTGCAGTAACAGCCAGCACAGCAGATGGAAAGATCCAGCCAGACCTCCCATTGTAAACCAAAAAAAACCCACTGAAGAAGAAAGCTTTTTGCCCTTTTAAATAGCTTAATGGCATCTTTACATGAATTTAAAAACATATTATCCAACATTTTTACAATTTCAGGAAAAATACTTCTCTGACAATGTCAAAAATCCTGATGTGCCACTGTCATCTGCATTTTATGGCTGGCTAACTTTTAAGAAACAGTTATAAAATTTTCTAAGCTATAAAGTATTAAAATACCCTCTAGCAATACAATGTGGTAGTTATGTAATGTCCTAAACATGTTACAGTTAATTATGGAGACAAAAATTTGCCTTACTTTCTACTGGGATTTAATGTGTAGGCATTTTACAGATCAGCAATAGGTGGTTATTACAAAGCATTAGAAAATTATGCTTTTGATTCACGCGGGTACCTGCCCAATGCCTGCAGTGATACGTGGTTATGAGAACGCAGCTGCACAGAGGTGCGTTTGCTTAGGTGACTGTTTACTTGGCAACTGGGGTATGAGTGCTGGAAGGTACGGGTCCAGTTTCTAGTCCTCTCCGGCATGTTCACTACTGTACTGAAGGTAGGGCTGTTTCTTAGGAGCTTTGTTTTCAAGCCCCCATGCCAGAGTGGTAAGGTCTGGTTTTGTACTGGATTCAGTGGGAAAGCTTTGTGAAAAAGCTGTGTAGGAGAAGTCGTGTCTCTGCATACATTCCAGCCAAACACTCGCCTCTCTGGTAAACCTTGTTTGGTCATTTGCTACCTAAATGTCGGTACGATAGTATGCGTCTTTGCTGCGTTATACACTGGCACTCCTACCAGTGACACCAACTACCGTCCTAAAGGTATGCCCTTTCCAAGCAGCCAAAAATCATCATGTCTATTTCACGTGGCATGGATGGCATATAACTCACTAATTCCTCAGTAAAAGAAATAACAGTATAAGCAGGAATATCTGTTATTTAAAGTCACATTCTCTTTCATTTTTTTTTATTTATTTTCAGAACCCAATGAAATTATAATATAAAACCTATGGCAGTACTGAATCCAGTTTCCAAATACACTTGTCAAATTCCATTGACATTGATTTATTACACTGCCAATGCAGTCTCTTAGCATTTTCTTGTTCTGTGGATTTTGCAGTTTTAATTATAGGCAATTTTTTACAGAAAAACAGTTTTGCACTGGTGAAAGACACCCAAGAACTCATTTACTTTTTCCATCTTGCTGTTTGCTTTGAGATTAGCTCTGCTTTGAGCAGGAGGTAGGACTAGATGGCTACTGTAATCATAAATTAACTCTACAGCTCTGTCCTGGCAGGCTCTGCACTACTGCTACCTTCTAGGATGTTCACTGTGAGAGTATTTTTCTTGGAGATACTTCACTAGAGGTGCTCAAAGAGAAAACGATCTATGTGAAAAATCTCTCACTGTTTTCTGCTTACATAAGACAAAATTTAAGCTCTCACTAGGTTGCATTGCTCAATGAACTTCTAGTAATTATCAGACACAGGTCCATTAAAACAAGGCAAAACAACACTACAGAATAATTCATAATCTGTAGGAGGGAAATATTGCATTGATTATGAAGAAAGAGCTATGGTCAGGTCAGCATTTATTAACCTCAATTTAATTCTGACTTTCTTTCCTTTGGATCGCATGCAGGTTTATGTATTTTAGCTTAGTTAAACTAGAATCTAACCTTGTCCTAATCATAGTATCTTTAAATATCAGTCTTTTCCCATACACTTTTCTTTTACACCTCACATCCTTGTCTTCCCACAAACATCTTACTTCCAAAATATGTCTGCTTTCCACTCACACTGAGCTACTTTCTGGAAACCATGCAGAAATGTCAAGATACTACCTTTTTTCCAGCTTAGGAAATATTTATTTTGGGGGGAGAAAACAACAAAAATTCAGTGGTGTTAAATAATACAAAAAAAGGAAAAAACCTTTCACCCAAATTCTGGCTTTACAGAGTGAGATAGTCACCCACAACTTCCCTGTTAGATGCCAAAATCTACTTTTGATTCAGCAGCGTTTTCTGTGTAGAAATCCTGTTTGCTCAAGTGAGAACAATTCTTTTGGTGACCATGTACCACTGCACTCAACTCTAGAGTCTCAATACTGGCAGAAAGCAGTATGCTACATATCCAGAAACCATTTAATAAACAACCACATTGTAAATAGCAACCCTTTTACTATGCAGATTCTTGTACGTGAATAACATGAATTGGGGTCTGACCCTCAAGCCTCCTCTTCATAAAACCCTCCAAGCATTTCTACTAGGACAGTACCAGGCAGATTATCGTCGCTAACTTGCTGAGCTTTGATGATGAAGAAGTTGTCTTTACTTTCCAGGATCATGTAAAAAGCAAATACAGAAACTGGGGGTTTTTTCTTTTTTTTTTTTTTTTCTTCCCTATTTTGCATGACAATTTCTGTGACTGGTAAGAGGTATATGGAGTAAATTTTCTAGATCAACAATTTCAAGTCCTGAAATTTACTCTTGAGTTGGTGTAGAAACTATGTAGACACCTCAGTGTCCACTGTCTGCAAATTAAGACTATTACTTCTTAAAGAACTACATGTTAAGAAACAATTTGTTTACAAAGCACTTAAATATATAATGTACTATACCCACCATTTATTTTACTCACTGACAGATGACCCCAGGGAATCCCTAAAAGTGTAACGCTGTTCTCACCTCAGAAGAGTAAAGCAATTTCATTTTTTTTAAGAGTAATGATGCTGACAAAGAGCTGAATGACAAGCAAATAAATATATTTGCATTTCAGCTTGAAGAAACGCTGTCTCAGAGATATAATACTAACAACAGTAATTTTTTTTAAAACTATGTATTTTTCCAAAGTGTCTATTCTAGAGTGAAGTTTATTTCAATTCTGTACTATTTTCCTCAGATAAGAGATTGCCAAACTACTTTTTTCTGTTTGTTTTAGGAAGTGTTAATGCCTCTTTCTAATGTCTGTATCCAATGTCTGATAGTAAGGAAAGCCTTTTTCTTTGTCCTATGAAATATCTTACAGCTTTTGGTGAGATTAAAACAAGCCCTTGTGGTTTTTTTATTAAACTAGTGGGGGGGGTTTGGAGTTTTTTTAATTAAAGAGAAAATCTGTTTGTTTTCCAATCCTCTTCTACGTCAAAATACTAACTCAGCAGAGATGTTTGAAGGCTGGGCTCATCCTGCCACAACAGTAGTAGCTTTTGAGAAGAGAAACAGCTTTGAGGTGCTTGGTGCCTTTTCTCCCACAAAGTATGAATTCTTCCAGCTCCTTAGGGAAGAGGTGGAACTGAAAATCCACCCTATTCCTCCCTCTTACTGGGACAGTAACTGTCCCTTGCACCTAACTGATACAGTTACTCTGGTAAGGGAAGTGAGAGCCATACTCTTGTGTTCCGCGCTGTAAAGGACTGTGATCAATGCTTGCTTAAAGTGCTGTTATTTTTTGCTTTATTTTTTCCCCCCATAAAATCTAAATACATATACATTATATACAATCCTCTCAAATAAATTTCACTATCTATTTTAAAAGAAAGGAATTTAAACTGAAGAGGCAAGACTTGAAAATTAGAACTATATACAGATGGCTTGTGCAACCTTAATTCTACCTCGTGTGCCCCCATTTACGCAGCGCAGGATCTCTGCCTGATTCCATGAACAGGAAGACTGCAAAAAGCTGCAGAATTACAC